ATGCAAAAATGTGTCAGTGGCTATTGATGGTCCGTTAAGAATAATGTTTTCCATAATATGACCATAATTTATTTTTTATTATTCCATGGCATGTTTTTATAAAAAAAAATATTCAAAGTTAATATTTTTTCATATTTCCATACTATATTTTTAAAAGTAATAATGATTTTATATCGCTGGCTTCAAAGGTAAAGCAAGCAGTGTTTGATTATTCTATTCAAAATTAACCCTTGTCCTACATATCGCGAGTAGACGCGTTCCATAGAAATAGGAAGCGAAACGGTATCAACAGCCGCGTCCCGTATTACCATTCCAGGCTTTCTTAGAACCAAGTTCCGCTAGCTAACCTTCCCTGAAGGCACCGCTCGCCCACATACCCATTAAACATTGCGACCCACAGATTAAAGAAGTCAAAGTCAGTTGCTGCTGCGACATCCGATCGGTATGTCTCTTTGCGCGTGATGTGTCTATGAGTTTTAAGTGCGTCGTACATTTGAAAATTCCGAATTTAAAATAGGAATCCGCGACGACTATAAACTAGATCGGTTTTCGCGCCATTTTCGTTACGCGTAATATTTGTTATCCACACTTTCGCGCCAATATTAGTGATTAACTATGAATATGTGATTTTGAATATCAATTTTATTTCGACTTATAGAAATTTAGTTTTATCTTGTCACACTGAATAGATGGTTTGAAATGTTGCGGTCAAGTCAATTGGTAACGCCATACATGTGAAACTAATTGGACAATTTGTGTTCGTTAGCGTGAAAAATGTGAGTCCGATGATAGTGCCGTCTTATAGTTTTCATTAAGTGTAAAAGAACCTCCATTATCTTAAAGGGTGATCTTTAAATTTGGATTCAGTTTATAAATAGTACTTAAAAAATACTTTTGTTGAATAGAATTGTCGTTTAATTAATTGAAACCAGTTGCCCACTGAATTACTTCCAAACCAATTCGACTTAGGGTCGTTCAAGAAAACACGAAGCCTCTGGCATTGAGAGTGTCCATAGGCTGCGGTTTCATATCAGTTAGTCCTGCCCGTTTCTATATACAAATAAAATATATTCTAACATATATAATAACGACTTAATAAATTTACAACACTCTCAGTCAGGCTGCCCTTGGATTTATTGTAAAATATTAATTAGAGACGTATTAAAATCTAGTAAAAATGCATCATACATTATATATAGTTCTGCGTAGATAGTTAAATCCCTAATAAAACTTCGACAGATAATAAAAAGGGTATTGGTATTTTGGCGCCACGAGATTGCGTATAAACAAATTTAGGGCGGCGTAAATAAACAACACGAGACAGTAGAGCATATTTCAAAGACAGTAGAGATTTCTAAGTTTTATCTATAGCTTTGAATAATAATATTTAATTGGGGATTATCATTTAAATTAGAGCAGTGTAAATACGACGTGCGAGTCTCATGCCAGAGGTGGTAGATTCGAACCCCGGCTGTGCACCAATGGACTTTCTGTCTATGTGCGCATATAACACTCGCTCATACGGTGAAGTAAAGCATCGTGAGAAAACCGGCATTAGACCAAATAAGTCGACGTGTGTCAGGCACAGAAGGCTCACGAAACAGGTACAGAAATTACCAGAACAAGGGTTGAGGCGCCACTGGTTTTGTTTGAATTAAATTGTCGTTTAAAAAAATATTGAATTTTCTAATAATAAAACATTTATTGAATCAATTTTAAACTATAAAATCTTTGTTACAAGTAAAAGTTAATAGATATTCTATTTATTAAGTAACTTGAAGAAATATGAATTAGAAATTTTTGCATGCATCGTATCGCAATAGTTTAATTTAATTTAAAAGAAATAGATTTATAAAATGGTTTTCCCGCTGTTGATTTATTTACCCTTAACATTCTAGTCCGAATGTTCCCGAATGTAACCGAATATGGTTCGAAAAATATGGATACATTAGACAGGTTGATGTTTTATTCATAAAATAAACTTAGTATCTTTACATGCGTTAACATGCCCTAATCAGCCGACTCAGTTGAATAAATTTCATACATTGTACATGATAGATGAAAATAATAGTCTAACGACTTCTAATTATACTTCAGACAATCTTGTATCACAGTATAATGTGTAAAAAACTTAAACGTAGTTTTTCTAGTAGAAATAGTCGAGTCAGTTTATAAACCTGATCAATGATCAACCATAAAAAGTATGAATTGAAAAACTGATTTTGACAGGACAATTATACATTTTGTCTCCGTTTTGCCATCTTTTACTAAGCAATACGCTTTTTAAAAAGCTTTCAGGTTAATTAATAATAATAGTAATAATAATTAAGCCCGTTTAATTCCAATCTTTACAAATGTAGAATACATATACAGTTTAGATTTATGTTTATATATATATATTACTTGTTATCATAATATTCTAACTTTATTCACAATTGATTGGAACCCCATCACCTCTTCCAGCTTTTCCCATATATCTCTATCCAAGGCTTTCTTTCTCCATTCGCTAACGCTCGAATCAGTCATTTATCCACCTTTTTTTTGGGCGCCCCCTTCTTCTTTCCCTTGGCCCTTTTAGGTTACGAAGGGTTAATTTATTGTGGTTTAACATATGACAAGATTTCCAATTTATGTGAATTCAAAAAATAAACATGAACGTTAGACTCGTAATACTCCGTAATAATTTCGTGTTTAAACTCATTAAATGAAGGGAAGACTATATGGAAAGGACCAAGGGGAAAAAGGAGAAGCGTGCGCCCCAAAAAAAAGGGGTAATAAAAGCGGTAGCAGGAAGAGAATGAAAGCCATGGACAGTATTAGTTAGAAAAAGCTGGAAGCCTTTACCCGTAAAGGGGTTTCGTTCGACGGTACTGAAGGTAGCTAGGATATAGAATGAAAAAAAAATTAAAAAATCTAAGCCGTATATATTTTTTTTTGTAATGATTGGAAATTAAACGGGCTATTGTTGGAAATAATTGGAATTATAAGAAGGGTAGATTCTGGTTTCTTAAATATCTTCTCATATGAAAGTTGTCACAAGACATATACATGATTAACGGTTCTACGATATTCTCACGCTGAACAAAGATATCATTAAGGCTATCCTAGATAAGAGTCATCGATGTGAAAGTGTAATTAGAAAATTGTTACATGGCCCACTTGCGCGCTATGCTACTCTTAGGGGTATTTAATACCCCTTAAACTGTTTAACATATTATTATATAGAAATTTAACTATAACCCAACTAAGCTAAGTTCAGCTTAATATGACATTTGCCTGCCTATTAATATATGGCTGATTGTGCGGATTTTTATAATTAATCGATCTTATTGTACCATCTTGGTAAATAAACGATTTATTATTTATTATTCACTAAAAACAAATCTTTCTAAGAAGACCAAAAGTCATAAATTACATAAAAATATTGAAGTCGATTTGTAAATCATGATATGTTTTACGGACCACCTGCCATATTATAAATCGTGCGATTACATTGTTATGTTGTATAACTCTCGTTTGTATCGTGGTCAATTCGATCTACCACAGATTATCACTAATGGTATGTTATAATCACGTATATATTAGCCATGGTGGCCTTCATATCCGCCCACTTGGGCGGCGCCCACGCCCTTGCATGCCATAAAACCGCAGATTTTAATATCGCCATTTAAGAAATAGGTTGTTATTATATTTATCGACAAAGACACGAAATCGTTTATCTAAATTAGATGCAACAAAAAGCGTCTACACACGGCCCAAAAGTCAGTGGCGATATCGGGAGAATGGTGGTGGGGATGAAATTGGCTCTAAGTTCGAATAGGCAGTAGCATACTCGAATGGGGGGTACAATTTGCCTACACACGAGGCGATCTAGGTAGCGATCTAGGGTGCTCCCCATTACTTTCCCGATATTGCCTTTGACTTTAGGGCCGTGTGTGGACGCTTTAAGTGTGTGATTCATGTCGGTAATAAAAAAAAAATTGACATAATAATACCATTTATAAATTTAATACCCAATTTAAATAGTCCTTTATTAGTTTAGTTTGTTTTTTGTTCCTGTTTAGTTTCTTTTTCTTAACAACTATGTGTAATACATGTATTTTTGCACTTCTTGCCTGCCTTATGTAATTTAATTTACAAAAAAATCTTTTCTCACAGTGGTTGCCTGGAAGAGATCGCTCGATAGCTATAAGGCCGCCAGTTGCCTTTTCTTTACATGTAATTATGTTAAATTTTTATATTATAAAGCAACAATGTGTAAATAAATAAAATAAATCAATATGTTGAATATCTATCAATTAATACTCGAGTAACCATATATGGAAAGCAATCCATATAAAAGCTGATAAGGTATACTAAGTTTTCCCAACATTTATTATCTTAAAAACATGTATTGCTTATTTTAAATTCAAATATAGGTAATTTAAGACATCAAAATGTTTCTACATTTTGTAATGAGACATTATCATATATTATTAAGAGGAATAGATACAGAATGTTATGTAATAATTACGAACAAGTACTTAACAGGTATCATAAAGAAACTATAGTGTCTATTCAAACTTATGTGAACTCCACCCTCAAAGGCCGGCAACGCACCCACTGAATATGGGTGTCTATGGGCTGCGATACTGCCCTTTTAGGGCGTCTCGTATGCTCGTTTGCCCGCCTATTATATAAAAAAAGACTAGGTAATACTGAGGAAAACGTAATCTTTGGTAAATGAGTGAAAATATTTACAAATCATCTTATTTAGGTGACCCCATTCCCATTGATGAAACGTAGACAGGTTAATGAGAGAGTTATGAAATAGAGTGAACCGTCCACCGGGAATAGATCGAACTGTCGTCAGCTCAGCAGTGTGACCGCACTATCATCCGGCATCACCCGCGCCTCTGATAACCCATAGACTCGACCGAAATAACCAGTCAATTCTCAGTCGCAGTCGCAACACGACTGTCTGCATAATAATTCCGCTCGGTCTTTTATACCTGTGAAGCATGGCGTCCGTGCGCACGCGCTCCGCGTCACCCAAAACTGTCTCCTTCTCCCCCGTTCTTGAGCGGAAGTACAGCGCCGATAGGCCTTCCTACCCTCCGGAACTGAACCCGTCTGATTGGAGGAAGTACTTCACAGATTTCAGTTCATACCTTGGTGAGTATTGACGCATGATTCTTTTATTATACGACCTTGTTCTATTTGCGTTTTAGGAGTTGTAAACATACTGCAAGAATATCGGTGTTCCAGTAACGATTGTTGCATCATTAGTGGTTATTCGATGAAAAATAGCGTTAATAATAATCTAATATTAGAACAACTATGTAATAATTATATTTAACTGAAGGCAGAGTCAATTTGCAGATAACCTTGCGGTTCCGTATCTGCGTAAGAGTTTTGAACTATCACAATGCATTTAGGAATACTGGCAATTTAATTGCGACAGTAGATGCTGTTTTGTTAAGGAGGGCAATTTTAATATACAAGATGTAGTGTATTAACTTAATCCAGTAGAGACTGGACTTAGCTTTTTTAAAATTCTTTACCAATATGTAACATACATCATTTTTAATATAAAAAATGGAATTGTTCATTTAAGAAACTTACAGTATAGGTAAGAAATTACTAAGGAATTGTTAATGAAACACCATAAATTCCAATTACAAATAATTTTATCAATCAATTTGCCCCTTGTGGGGCCCCACGTTGGGAAAGACTCAGTTAATCTATATATGTAAAATCTATGTTAAAAAGCGCAAAACCCGAAGACGGTTGGGCCTTTTGGCCCTTGGCGAACTCTGAGAAAAATAAAATTTAGTTTTATTTAGAATATTTATACCGGAAAAGCGAACAGTTTCTATGCATTTAGTGGAATTTTCACACTCTGTCCAGTTTGTGTTTCCACCGCACTGTTATAAACTTCTTATTTATTTCTGATTATGTATGTACAATATATAAATAAATACAAATAATATTTACGAAATTAATAGTATTCACTATTGAACATTCCTTTAGAATATAAGAATCAATGTTGCTTTAAAGAATCTTTGCGTGTAAATTTTGCACAGGCGTTTTAATTTTCAAACATTATAATTATATGAAAAAGTGTATTGGTCATAATGTTCATGCTAATAAAAAGACTACTTATAATATGCAAGAAAATTTATATCTGAATATGATTATAAATAATTTGAATTTTTTACTCTTTTTTATTTTAACTATACTCAAATATTAACTTACTACGTATATTTATACCTATACTTGAGTTAAGATTCGTTCATCACACAATGATATCTCAGGAACAAATGTAAATAAGACTTAATCATGGCAGAAATATTTCGCGTGCTCTATGCTATAGGTACAGTAATTGTACTCGTTTTGCAAACGAATATAAAAGCTCTCGGTCAAGACAAATTCCGCACTGCAATCGTCATCATATGACGCCTCCGTGGACGCTTCATTATCAAAGCGGCGTCAGCGACCATTCAGATATTCGTACCTTTAATCGCTTCTAGCGCTTTTTCTATTATTGAAATCATTTAAGACATTTAAACGTTTATAGCCTTATTTTTTTACCGCGTAGTTTTGATTGGTCTATATGATAATACAAATAATCATTATAGATAACTTTTGAATACATAAACAAATACAGCCTTTATTGCTGTGAAATTACTTATACATAAATAATGTGAAGTACTGTAAACCTAATAACTATCCGACAAGCCGGTAAATTTCTGTTGTACACCTTGTCCTTGGACATAGGCCTCCTCTAAGAGATTCCACTCCTCTCGGCGTCTAGCTTTACGTAGCCACAAAGGGCCAGCTGCTCAACTTATATCATCCTCCCATTTTCTTATGTCTTCCTCGTTTTCTTTTTTCATAGCGAGAAAGCCATTCCGTCGCTTTTTTCCTCCATTTATCTTTGTCTTCTCTCAGGTGTTCTGTCCATTTCCATTTCTGTCTTTTACTAGAAGTAACAGCATTTCTAAAGTTTGTCATGTCTTTTATTTCTTCTGGTTTTTACTCTATCTAAAATATAAAATAAAAATTGTGCGTGTACTAGGTGTACACACGTAAGAAGTGAAACTTCTTTATGATCTTATTTTTCGAAAAATGATCTACTATATGCGACTTTACAGAAATTCGTTAAATTAGATAAAGTTTAACAAAAGGCTTTTATTATCATAGACATGAATACAAATATTTCATTTTACCTTATTACTACGAAGATTATTATAGAATTTCATTAATTGTAATAGAATTATTACTATCATTGAAAAACGTGACGATTTGCTACAAAATTTCTCCCATACGTCGATAAAGAAGTTTCATTCCAACGCCGATAAAGAAGTTTGACTTCAAAAAGGAACATGGCGCGTAACCGAAAAACGTGACGCGTAACGAAAAATGTTACACTAAATTTTTTTCCAACCTCGATAAAGAAGTTTCACTTCAATAAATAAAAACCTTAAATGTGGGTAATATCTGTAAAAAGTAAATAATTACTGTTGACGTAATCACCAAATATGAAAATCAAAGTCCCCCCTCCCCCTATAGTGCATATGTAATACAGAATACTTGAACGGCCCCTAATAACCTAACCGGTTTAAAATGGTATCAAAATTCAGATTACAGCGCTTCGGATTCGTAGCGTGAAATCGATGTTTATGTGAACAATGTCTATACAGATTTTTTGCGGTGTGCGCTGGAGGTGAATCAGTACCGCATTTGTCCATAAGAACGGCGCGCGCGCATTTTGCTAAGACTAAAATTTGTTTACATCCGGCGTTTTAATAATGTCGAAAGCGCATTACTCAGTGAATGACGATGTGTACGGAAAAATATTGAAAACACAAACGGAAAGGGAACCGCAAACTGATTATGCTGAGGTTTTTGAGGCGTGCGAAGGATTAGGTAAATTTAATATCTTATATGCAGATATATATAAATGTATATATATATGATTCAAGTAATATCTGTATTGTATATGTACTTTGCGTGTTATGTGTTTTAGCTGTAAAATATTTATTTATTAGAAGATATTTTCTTTAATTAAATTATTTAGAAAAATGTCTTCGGTCTTGAACATGATAGGTCATTTGTTTTTGAGAATGTTTTTATAAGGAATTTGTCTGTGCGAAGTGTGGCTGTTACGACTTACGAGTGATGATACAAGGAAAGTACTGTTTATCTCCATGTCACAATTTAAGTGCCTCTTAAACGCAACAATGAAGGTATTGAAGGCTCTGACCGATAAGGTTTTATTGGACAAATTAAATTTAAAATAACATCAGAGGTCATTGAACTCCCGAAAACTAGTTTTTTTAATGACGTCAAGGCTGGGAACTTTTCGCAAATTTGGACCCGTCAGACAGGAATATGTAAATTCAAGATTTCGTTTGGTTTGTTCGTTCACTATGTTAAATCTGCAAAATTGTTTATTAAATCTAAAAAATTATATATAAAGTTTTATAAGCAATATTGTACTGTTGTATATATATATATATATATATAATATGTGTATGTATGAAGTCCGTCGTTCTACAAATAAACGTTTTTTAAGGTTCTACCGCGCACCACCTCTATTTAAAATCAGCTGCCCACAAGTGTTTCCCAACCGATTCTACTTATGGTCTCTCCAGAAATGAGCGTACAAATTCTTTATAGGCCGGTAACGCATTCGCGAGTCCCTCTGGCATTGAGTGTACATGGGGGACGGTATTACTGAACAGGCCACCTGCCAGTTTGCCCCCTGTTATATTTTAAAAAAATATGCGATAATTTATATGTGCCCATAATCACGAATATATGTTTGTGTATACATGTGCGTTACTCAACATATGTATTAATTATAAAGGTTAAACATGTTATCTAACTGTTAAAGCGTTCTTATAATAATGAGATTTGTATGACTCATAAGAAGTGATTTGCGGTCAAAAAGTACCTACAGTTAAATAGGCAGATTACTGTTGTTAACCAATCAAAAATACACAAAGACAATTTTCTATTATTTTTTAACATCATGGCCTTGAACTAATGTTCAAAATCTTTGGTCTGAGTTTGGCTACTTGACTTGATTTAAGGTCTCCCTTATTTTAAACTAACCTGGTAATACGTCTTCTGCACTAAATATAGCAGGGGTGTGTGGGACTCGATTAACTCCAGACACTCTGCTACTTAGAGAACCGTGACTATACCATAAAACCATTTTGGATAGTACCAACACGTCCGCATCAAAGAGGCCTTCGGGGTCGCTTTTGCATACAGGACCTCAGCGGTATAGTCTGGCATGACAAAGTGAGGTATGTGTCCTATGTCCCCTAGGTGGGCCGGGGGCAAAGCCTGCTTGATCGATCTTGGATAGAAGCTCTTTTATATTCGCTTCTTTTGCCTCTGAAATTATGCCGGTTTTGGACGTGCAATAAATTACTCATAGATCTTATTCTTTTCTCGCTTCCTCTTATATTGGCGAACACTTCAAGTCCTTTACTATCCTGATCAGCTTAGAGATAATCCCACCACCTTGAACCTTTGACCCTACCGTAGAATTCCTGTTACCTTAGGTCTCTTGGTGCAGACATCCCGTACTTATTTTTATATTCACTATTTATGTATAGGGGTACGTCTGTTGGGCTTAGGTATCCGTAGGGTTGCTAGATTCTTACATCTCACCCTCTTATATATTTATCTAGTGCGGCTTTCTCATACATACATACATATACTATACAGATACTCCTGACATTTAATACATAATATGAATGTAACCACACATTTCAAAGTCCACTTGCTCGCAAGCTGTACAGGTATCTTCTTCACCGCGTCCACACAGACAGAAAAGCGGTCCTATAGACTCTTATGATGGAGGTTACTTTTTAAAAGGATTTTGTCACAAATTATATTTTGACTAGCGGCCCGTCCCGGCTTCGCATGGGTGGACATTTATTTCTAAACATTTTTTGTAGATATGAATTCTTTAATATTGTGGAACATTGTTTTATTCTAACACCAAATTTGAGGCATGCGATGAAAGATATTTTGTGGATTTTTTACACCTTAGATAACATTATTGTAGTTTTAGTAGGGATCCTTATTTATTTCTTGTAATTAAAAAAGACTATTCATCAATGACAATGTAGCATTCAAATCGTGAATTTTTATTTTTGTCCAGTACTTTTTAAGCCTATTTGTTACAAACATACTTACATCCAAAACGTTCCTCTTTATAATATTAGTATATGCAGCTACTAGCTTTACATTATACAGACATTTGAATGAAAACGTTGGCGTCGCGTGTTCATTTTCAATTATGGACCTCGTGATGACATCATGCTCCATATAAAATCTTAATCGATGTCTTTTTGCTCTGAAACACTATTAATATCCATTAAAGCGAATTTGATTGTCACTCTCTGAAGTGGTGACTTGCATTTGCTTGCAGTTTGTGTTGACGCTGTCTTTTTAGAAACTGAATATGATATGTATCTGATTGAGTTAATAAACCTAGTATAGTGCATATAAGTGCAAGTGCGGTATCTCGGACACACGAACATAGTGTCGAAACATTATAGAACACTAAGACTGTTAATGAACATTACTTTAGTTTAATCTATTCATTAGTGATGTAGAAAATTAAGTCAACAAAATATTACTCAAAACTTGGCGATTAAAAATAGTGGCGGAGAGTTTCTTGCCAGTGCTTCTTGCCCGCTCTACGCCCTTGACTTGCGAACTGTAGTAAATGTAAATTTAGAATCAATTTAAAAAAAAATCTGTTGACGTTCACAAGTGTACTTGGTTACTTATGTTAATAAAGTTATTTTGAGTTTGAGATACTCGTTATTTTTACAGCTCCTTTCTAAATTGAGACCATAATTAAAACTTTAGTACCAGGTAAATAATTTAAAGCATATACTCTCTTATTAACATCATTCACTCTAGCAAAATTGTTCATTTCTGAATCTCTAGTTTAAATCAAATTTCTCATATTAAGGTTGTTTTTATGGCAGTGTGTGTCTATTTTGACACCATCTTATTAATCTCTTCTCAATTCCAGATGCCCTGTTGGCTGACCTACAAAACTCGATAAACCCTGGCCGCGTCAGTAGTCCCATCGGGCGGACTACATCACCGAGTGCCAGGACCAGTTCTCCCGGTAGGACAGCGTCACCAATTGGAAGAGGCAGCTCCCCTGGTCGATTGAGCTCCCAGGGGGGTAGTTTGAGTTCCCCTACATCTACTGGATATGGTTCAATTAATGGCTCGAGGAATATAGGATCTGATTATGCTAAACCAGCGTCTGTAAGTATTTTTAACACTTTCTTTTATTGATTTTGTTCTTTGAAGGCACATGTGTTCTCGTTTCAAGCCGAAACATTTTTACTATCATTTATATTGCTTGAAAATTTTATTTGTTTTATCTTATTCTTCATAAAGCTGTTAGTTATTAGGAAATAATGTCTATTTGTCAATTGTTTGTTGTATTTTGAAATAATTATAAATATCTGTCACTTAACTATCGAAATCGGTCCGAAAGTCTCGATGAATCGATTCTAAAATATAATCGATTAGTTCCTAATAATATTAGTATAAATAAAATATTTTGTATTGTTTGTAAGGAATCGACTTAAAAACCACTGTATCGATATCAAAAATTATTTAAAAATGCTACATTAATTGCTTACATTCTAAAATCGCATCCAACTCTGGTTGGGTTTAAATTAAAAAACCGTGTTCTCGTGATTTTTTCTTTCACCGTACGACATTATTTTTATGTATTTCCTCAATATCCAGAAGTCAAAAAGTCAAGAGTCAAAATCATTTATTTCATGTCATTTAGGTAACACAATGTACACTTATGAACGTCAATAAAGACATACATATTAAATGCTAAATGCTTCTAAATTTACATTTACTGCCAGTTCTCAAATTAAGGGCGTAAAACGGACGAGAAGAACTGGCAATAAATTATGGGCCACTTTTTTTAATCGACGTGCGTAGAAGTGAAATCAGTATCCAAATAATCTGATTAAGACATTTTTTATCGATCCACTGTTTTTTATCTATACTTTTTTGTCTATTCCTGACAAAACAATACAAATCTCTTATTTATAATATTATTAGATTACATTTTAGGTCCAATTCAGACTGGCTGTCCATTTGCTTAATGATAAAATATTGCGCATGAGTGATATAGGCTTTAAAAAATATGTTCACCCGTGTGAAGGCCTAATGTTAAATATTTGTAATATAAGTTATCTTGGTGCATACTTGTTGATGTGGTAACATAAAGTGATTAAGGCTTTACACGTGACGATAACGTTTTGATTGCCGTGTCATTTTAATACGTGATAGGATGTCAATTGTCAATCATGACGTCAGCCTTAGTCATTCGGGTTAGGGGCAAGTAAGGAAAGTATATGTATGTCGGATAAGTTGAATCGAAAAATACTCATGATTATTCAAATTTGTTTTATGTTTTAAGTTAGTAGCTTTTTAAAGTACCAATAAATTTAGTTTAGTTAGCGATGGTAATTAAACGCTTGGTCAATGTGTTTTTTCGGTTGCAAAATTAAATTTAAAAAAAAGGGAAGATCCAAAAATAAGACCTTACAATAATAAGGCCGTCAACGCACTGGCAATGTGAGTGCTCATGGATTATGACTTAACATCAGGTGAGCCTCGTGCCCGTTTGCGATTTTAAAAAAATAGGTGAATACAGTAACTATATACTTTAATTTATTTAATTAATCAAGATTACCACACCATATATAATGCTATATCTACAGTATATATTACATCTATGTTTTCCAAAATAAAAAACAATTATGCTAAACATATATGTTACAACAATTAATTAGTAAAAATATTACACTTCCAATTTTACTACTAATTTTTTGAGCACAATAGCGGATTAGGTATCACTCAACAATGATATGATTTTTTTTTTAATTGATTAGCCCACTACAAAATATATTAAACTCTGGATAAGTAGTGTTTATTTGGTAATATTCACGTTAAGATGAATTCGAATTCTTCTACATGTCACAACTTCGAAAACATCTTATTTTAATGGCAATAAAATTCGTTGTTCTTAACGACAATAGCTGTAATAGATTCAAGACTACATTATAAGCTCCATTCAGGATTCAGGATAAATGGGCAGAAAGCTCAAGCGCAATGCCAGGGCTCGCAAGTGCGTTGCCTGTATTTAAAAAATTGGTACACTCTTTTGAAGGAGTAGTAGCAAGTACAATTGTAGCTGTATCATGTCCTTTATACAAACCCACCCGTACATTTCACTGAATGGCCCTTTCATTGTTATATTTCGAGTTGGCTTTGACACAGTTTCTGGGAACGGCTTTTCAACATTTGGAAAGGCAACCTTATTTCTCGTTGGCATAAATATTGACTATTAAAAGTTTAAAAGCTAGAAAGAGGTCATGGATTCAGAAGTGCTTCATTTATAACTATCTTAATAGGTCACTGGATAGTTGTTAATGAGATAGAATTTTTTCCAAAAACATTAACGAATGGCAAATACAAAAAAAACCTAGTTAGGTTTGGGCCTCTAATTTCTGTATGTTCATGTTTTGTTCCTCCTCAATATTATTCGAGTAATCGATCAAATTATCTGATTTTGAACATAAAATAATTTGTCGAATCACGGCTCCTTAAAACATCTCTAAATTTTGTTCTACATATTTTCATCGCTAGGCAATACTGTACCGTGCAATAATGTGGTGGCGCTTTTTAACCCTGTACAAATTAATTAAAATATCATGATTTGTGAAATGGATGAAAGATGGTACAAATTTTTGGCTTAACCTAACCTAACCTGGTGTAATTAACTGAAAACTGAGACAATATCATTTACATCATTCAAGTAATATTATCAGATTTTTTATTAATTTAAGGGGTCCAAAGACATGCGTCTCCTTAATATTACTTGGGGTACTACATATAAGTCGTAAAGAACGATAGAAAAAAAAGAGTTTTAATGTGGAGCCGTCATTCGACAAATTTACCTAACTAAGCTAGGTAATTTTTTTTTTTAAATAATATAATATTTAATTACAATTACAATTTTGAATTACAAAATAACATCCAAGGGATCTTGAGATTTGCATGTTTAAACTCTTTATAAAGAAATTGTTCAAGACAATAATGTGTAGACATATATATATTATTATGTATGTATATATTTTTTAATAACTTAGAAATTAAAGCAAATTATATTATTCTTCTATTTAATATTTATTTACATCACACAAATATACAGTATTAACAATATTCTTAATCTACATAGTAATAATAGGAATTGAAAATTAAAACAAATTTAAACAAAACCTTAAATGCTGGTAGCATTTTTTTGAACAAGAAGAGCAGGCGGAAGTAGTAAACAGCTCAAATAAAGGAGTCTTTTCTCCAACTTTGATTTTGTTCCCTTTGGAATAGAGACTCTTCGAGTCTTGTGCCAAGTGCACATGCGCTAATTAATGATTTAAGTTGGCGCCTGGTAGATAGTATCGGTGACACCACCGCTGGTGCTTTCCTCGCTCAACGAATACGTATCGCAATACAGCGAGAAAATGCTGAACTGCCAGCAATTAAAGGGCAAGGCTTTTTTTAATTTATTAATTTTGAATTGTTATTATTATTACTATGTAGGTTGAGTAAATAAATACTGTATATTTGTGTGTTGAAAATAAATGTAAAATAAATAACAAGAAGCAATATTTCAAAACGCATGTAGTATTAGAATGGATTTACCGTAAGATTGTTAGAGACGTTCCGTCTGATTCCCGTACACGAACGGACACACAGCCGTCATAATAAACAACAGTGTGTACCTACTTAAGTATTATAAATTATCATTTGCATGGTTGTAATATTTTTACCTAACCAAAGGTTAGTTTAGATGAATCGACGTTTTTATTTTAAGTTTAAGAATGTTATTATGGGGCCGTTCAAGTATTACGTAAGCAGATTTACTGCAATTTATCCCCTTCCCCCCCTCCTCTTGTCAGCAAAAGTAAGCAAAGCTCTCAAAAATAATAGTACATAAACGTATTAATTGTTTGTAGGAATCCTCGAAAATGCATTTCGTTTTCAAGCATAGAGAATGTGTTGGTAATATGTGTAAAAAAGTAAATAATTACTGTTGACCACCAAATAAGAAAATCAAACACCCATTCCCTAGGTTTAAAATCAACAATATCTTCCAAATTCCTTCTGCCAAAACCAACCTAGGAGTTCAGGCACCTCTCGTTCGAATTCTTCGTGATTTTAACAAATTGAACACAGCTTATCCGGAGCTGAATATATTCGGTAGTGGGCTGATCGGTTTTACAGAAAGCATTGTGGGGTGTCTTTCTCGAACCTAATTTCGCTGTTTTTCTGATGATTTTTCTTTTTTTTTTTCTGCTTAGTGCCAACAAATTTCATTTTAATGAAATTTGTTGAAAATTTTATTTTATGTTTATGGTAAAAAAAATATTTTATTTTAATGTGTGTATTGTCGTGTGTGTTATAGTTGTATTTTTTTAAAATTTCTATTTGATTTTTTTTGAGAAACTTATGCTTGCGTTGATTGTCGCACATTTTGGATGTAAGATTTTGTGAAATTATTGGTAGATTTAGGACTGTGTGTGATGTCGTGGGTTGATAACTAAAGTGAAACAAATATTTAGAAAAATTTTCGGTAGCAGCCGGGTGTTAAGAGAGTAAATTTAACGTAACTATTGAATTGGCAACGATTTTGAAACGCCATCTAGTGACATAATGAATGAACGTGTAGAATTTAAAGTCTATTTTCTAGTAGTTAACGACTTGGATATGATCCAATAGGATTTCTCAATGAATACTAGATGTCGTTAAATATGTATTAAATACATTCTCTAGGAATATATACGGCCTCATTCATATGCTAAGTGCACGCGTAGTCAATTGTCAAAATAATGTCATTTCATATTACACTAAATTTAAGTGTTATGACATAATATATAGAGAAATCAGGATGTATGTAGTAGGTATAGGCATAAAGTGTGCGAGAAAAAGGGTTTGACTGTTCTTAGCTGGGTAATTAATAGCTTATTAAAATCTTATCGCTAACAAGAAAAGTTTTGTTGTTATATTTATATCACGATGTTTATGATGATGTAGAATTCTGATGATAAGGCAATATCCTTTTCATCAGAATTCTATTTTAACGATTATAAACTTACGATTTGATTTCCTAAATTTCTTTCAAGTAATGCTTTATTTTGGAATTTAGAACTGCAAATCATATTACCAATGTCTGGAAGTATTAAAGTCCCTCATAGAAAGAAATTAAGCTCTAAGCCAGTGTTTCCCAACATGCCCCACGCCCCACAGGGGGCAATTTGATTGTGAACCCGTCACAATCGAAATAAGCCGGATATAACACAGCGTGGAGTGTTCAGACTGAGGCTAACCAAATTGGAACCTAATATAAAATCTCTGTGCAGCAAGCAAAGATTTAAATTAATATAGAAAAACTAGCTGACTTGGCAAACATCGTTTTGCCATGTATATCATTTATAATAAAAAAATAGGGGTTGATCGTAGAGGGGTGAAAAGTAGGGGTTGTATGTATTTTTTAATGCTGTATCATGAAAAAAATAAAAGAAAATATTTAAAAATAAAAAAACAATAATTTAGGGGTGGACTACCCTTAACATTTAGGGGGATGAAAAACAGATGTTGTCCGATTCTCAGACATACCCAATATGCTCACAAAATTTCATGGGAATCGGTCAAGGCGTTTCGGAGGAGTTTAACTACAAACACCGCGACACGAGAATGTTATATATTAGATTATTTAGAATTTGAATTTCAGTTTTTCATTATGTTTTGAAAATTTACTTATTGTTTCGTCAACAATTTCCTTAAACTTATTATTTAAATTTCTTAAGTGAACAATTCAATTTTTTAATATAATAATTATGTATGATACATAGAGGGTGGCATAAGAATTTTAGGTAGGCTAAGGTGGGGCATGTTTAGGAAACACTGCTAGAAACTATATATTTATGTGGTCACGGTCACGAATGAAGTTGTATGAGAAACATATTTCACAAGGTTTCTAATCTATTTACGTCATAGATACAGAGTTATAAATTTCTGGGCACAATATCAACGTTTTATATACTGTATATATTTCTATAAAGTTTTTTTTTTTGGAAAATAATTTTGTCAACGGATTTTACTTTATATGGGGGAGACAATTTAGAAGGTGGTTAGACCAAATTCAGGAATAGAGGAAGGCACACTGCAGACAGGAATGGCGGGATTTGGAGGCCTTTGCCAAAAAGAGAAATATGTTTAAGTGTAAAAATGTTTCTGAAATAAAAGTCTATTATTATTATTACTATATATATCGAGACGAGTGATGACGACCAATGATAACAGTGACTACAGTTAAGCTCAAAACGTGTTATTATTCGCGTCTATACTCGTTGAAGAGATTTCGGGGATGTATGCCATGAATAATCTTATTATTGTATATTTATTTAGATTTTATGATTCAATTTACGTACATATTCTGAAATTATAATCATACCAAAAAAGAAATGTATTTATTAGAGACTGTAAGTAGTGTTATTGGACACCTTCTTATGTTAAATTTCCTTATTAGTAAATTAGGTTAGACTTAAATTACTTATTAGACTTTAGTTAGGCTAGATCGTAATGTTCCGTGATGTCTTAGTAAAGACACATGTATAATAAAAATCTAAATGATAACTTAAACATACGCATAAATATGACTTATAATATCTGTACCCATCCTGTAAACACATGTCATTAAAAATAAAAGCTAAACAATGCTAATGACTTGGTTTAATGATTTTAAGATTCAAAGAAATAGTTTTATTTAATTAATATATATATATATATGATTTATTAAGTGACTATGGTAAATTGCACGATATTAAGCAAGTGATCTAATCAAAATATTGAACTATGTATCATAAGTAAATGTAGCAATATTGGCCTAGTGGTTTAAGAATACGACTCTCATCCCTGAGGTCGTAGGTTCGATCCCCGGCTGTGCACCAATGGACTTTCATTCTTCATTTAACATTATTATATATTATTACTATTAGATGGTCAAAGAAATTATCATGAAAGATATAGAAATGTGAGGCCCAGACCTAAAAACGTTGTAGCGTCACTGATGTTTTTTTATTAAATGTAGCAATAAGTAACTCGTCGATAAAAAATAGATAAATGTATCTATTTTTTATCGACGTAGTGATAACTGTCAGTTCTAAAATTTTAGCAACGAGAACTGACAATAAACTTCGCGATGATTGATAATTGATTGATCTAAATGAACCACTTTCTTGCAAATAAATTATTTATTATTATTACCTAAATATCGTTCGACAAGATGCTTGTCAGAAACTGCGACCATTATAAGAAACATCTCATGACATTGAAGCATTGAATTATAAGTTTTCTTTTGCCCACAGCCAACCTATCAGAACGCAAGCGTGGTACACGAAAAGGCAGTACCAAAGTACACTAACCAGAGCTTCACACCCAGTTATGGCGCAAACCCTGGGTATGGGAGAACGGGTAGGGGGAACCTATCGGAGCTGGACACATTATTGGATGACCTGAGTAATGCAAGATACGGAAACTATGCGGAGAAGAATTATACCGATAGATCGGGTAGGTCATCATTTAAAATATATTACCGGATAGAATTATCTCTGTAACAAAATCGTCAGTTGTAAGAGTTTTTTTTCTTCCTCCGGTATTTTATTTATTTATTTCGCAATCCTACAGCTAACATAAGTTATGTACAACAACAAACAATAATTATAATAAAGATATAGCCAAAGATGGAATACAAAATATATCCAAAAAGGTTCAAACATTCACGAAAGGAAAAAATGAATAAAAATGTGTAATAATTATTATAAATGTAAAATAAGGTTTTAAGTCAGTTATAAATCTGATTAGATAATATATAAATTCTTAAATCTTTTCACAATATACAATCTTGTGTTGTACAAATCCGCATGATGTTGAAAAATATTTTTTTCTATACCTATCGATTCAAGTTTTAATTACAAGATTTGATAAATCAGTGAATTTTATATAATTTAACTATAACAAATAACAGAACATAATAAAAAACGTATAACCGCCGGAACAAAAGCCGGAAACGCACTCGTGAGCCCTCTAGCATTGAGGTGTCCATGGGCGGGGCGGTATCCTCCTGCCCGTTTGCCGTTTTGTTCTATAAAAAAATAAGAAAAAATGTTTTCGTAGTAATAATCTGAACTGTATGTTAAATATAGATTTTAAATCTTTTGAAAGCAAATGTTTTCTTTGGCAGCCTCCCGAACTGAAATAGATCGATGTTATTATCTTACGAAATATAGTTATCATTACTCTATGTTCCAATTAAATTTATCTTCGCCGGAAACTTTGAGCAGGTGTATCTAACAATTATACTAAACATTAGCCAAAGATGGAACACATAATATACTGCTCAAAACAATTAGCGGAACAAGATTTTTCTCCTTTCAATAGAAACCGCTTAAACTAAAATTAGATTTAAATTAACTTGTACGCTATTTTTTACCTTGTTTATTTGTTAATTACTACAATTAATAAAAAAATTAAAATGTGCATATATGTATACGAAAAGTTACATTAACGAAAGGAAAAATCTATAAAAATTATTAAATACGTAATACTTATTACATACCTATATTTCGGCTGTACACATAATTCGGCTGTGCTGTGTGATGGTGTGATAGTGAGGGTGTGTGTGTATAAATTGTCTCTGCATAGACATCATTTAAAATTACTATCTAACCTTACTTAAGACTAATTAAGAGAGTAAGTAGTATCGGTTTTAAAGAAAGCATTGTTAAGTGCCTATCTCGAACCTAATTCGCTGTTTTGCTGGTAATTTTTTTTATTTTTATTTAGTTTTGGGCTTAACAAAAATTTCTGGTATTTTTATTTTAACTAGTATATTATGTTAGAATTTTTTTTTGTATAAATTATACTAAATAGTTTACCTTAATTGTCATTAATTTTATATAAAATATTTTGAAACATATATCGTAGATTTAGTACTAAATAAAAAAAGTGTCCAATAACACTGAAATACTCTGTTCTATGTACTACGTGTGTATTATATAATAACAAAAAACAGTTATACTAATAATATAGCTAAACATAATGAGATATAAAAAATTGACAAAAAACCAATTAAAATAGATTAAATACATTTATCTGTGTATGTACATACACATAGTTAGTGTTAAAGTCGGTAATACTACTGGAAGTTGCAGATGATTTAGATGACATTGCAACACTATTCTTAAAACAATGTAATTAGGTTATCATCATTTGATAACACGTTGCATATACCTGTTTACATTAGTGATTTACTAGTCTTTTGTAATGTTTTTGATCGAAATATACCAATTTGTCTAAAATTGGCGAGATGGATTCTGGGATGATATTTCTTACTTTCCTATTTTAATTATCTAATAATTTATTAATGCTTTATTAATGAATGTCCTAAGATATGTATGCTTTGCAGACACCTACACCAGAACCAATGGTGCGGCCAGTCCTGCCTCAACAAGGCCGACAGTGGATTCACTTCTGGATCAACTCAGCACCGATGTTCATAATGGGTATTTTTTTTTTTTTTAAAGACAATTCACACCAATTGACCTAGCCCCATGCTAAGCTGGTGAAGCTTGTGTTATGGGTACTAGGCAACGGATATACATACATATTATAGATAGATAGACGTATAAATACATATTTAAACACCCAAGACCTAAGCACAACACCAAATGCTCATCACATCGATGTTCGTCTCAGCCGGGGATCGAACCCGGGACCCATGGATTCGCAGTCAGGGGTACTAACCACTAGACCAATGAGTCGGTATGTTATATTAAACCGAATATTTTTTTTTATTTAGTAGTTTAAAAATGTGCCTAAAGTAATATAATATTTAATATACTTATTGTCTATTGGGAAACGGTTATTTATTTTTTTGGCCTCCTCCAAATTTTTATAATCGTGGCGTTCTCTAGCGGTTGAATCCAACTTGGACCCGCTACGTTTTTTATATCTTCTCATCTGCTTGGCTTGACAATCTGTTCCACTTTGCTTCTTTTCTCTCATCATATGGTTTTTATTAGTATCGGTTTCCTTTTTTAAATAAAATATGAAGACATATTCGTTTAGGTTCAATATTCAATGCAATTCTTGTTTATGGCTTTTATTTGTGCCAACTGGGCCTTCGTGCCTTCTCCATCTACACGACACTGGAAGATTGATCAGTGAAAATAATAATTAAGTTAATTTTGAATATGCACCTAAAAAAAAATAGTTGAAATTCGATTGTTAGTTTTAAGACAGCATAGAGAACACAAATATGAGTCATAACATTTTTAAATACTATTTCCTATTTATGAATAATTTATATATATATTACACTTTAATTTTATTGCTTTCTATATATTAACATAAAAATCTACAATATGGACTAAACACAATCATTTAACGCTTAAAGGACGGAGGACTTTAGGGGGATGAACGTCATAGACGGGATAGGGTAGTTTGGGACAATTAAATAGTATGTGAGATACAGTGCTAGGTTCAATATATTTACAGGGTGACAAAATCATTGCCGCCATTTGTTTAGTGACATGACGTTTAACGTACAGATTACAAAGACACTTTATTTGATTAGGCTGAAGAATAATTCCTACAACTCTTATTCATAAAAAAAGTTTATATCTCGTTATTATTATATGAAGAAGATTTTCTTAAAAAATAAAACGTTTGATGTGTTGATTGCTAGTATTGTAAGTTGGCGCCGAGCTCGGACGCGGGTCGTGTGGAAATGGAGTGATGTATTGACACACGTCATCTGTCATGATTTGTATTCGCAGAAGTTCATGGACAAATATTATATTTTTTATACAGAAAATTGTCCTCAGAACGGCCATTTTGTTTTCGATTTTTATGTTTTACTGAAATACCCGGGTTTTGTGTTTATTACAAAAGCTATTCTTTCTTATCAATGCAAAAATTTATGATTATTTTGTAGCCTTTTTTAATAGGTATATGTTATTATATTTTTTATCATGATTCTTCTTTCCTTCTTCTTCTTCCATTACCACTTTATTAGTAAATGTTGGCTGTTAACAACTTGTTAACAACTGTTGCGTAGTATGCGACGGTCACCACATCTCAAAAGCTTCAAGGCGCCTCCGTGTCTTCTTTAATGGTCTATTCCTCACAGCCGTATAGTGCTACTGGCCGGATGTAAGAAGTACAAGAGTAGGAGTCGAACCCTTTTATACTAATGTGGGGACAAGTAATTGTTTCAGTTTATGAAAAGAAGTCCGGGTCATTTATAGATTTGATTATTGCCAGATTTCATCATCCGTTCTACGCCCTTGAGAACTGGCAGTTAATAAGCTAGAGACGTTACTACTGATATATTGATTTTGAAAATAATATGTGCACATCGGGGAAAAAAATTCAGCTCTGTTTTTTACGTTTTAAGACATTCAAAGCAAATTGTTTTAACAATTTACAAACTTAAATTTACGAAGCAATTATTACTTTTTTTTTACAGCAATTTTTATCCTTTCATTTTCAAAGGTTAAATCCAAATGTTTAATTGCTCGTACCTCGATAGTATCTTGGCAAGATAATATTTGGCATTTATACCCATGAATTGTCCGTAGACAATCTGTCATAAATCTATGTCCAAGTTCCCTATATTAATATGCTCTAGTGAAAATTTACACACAGGTGGACTAAATGCGTATTACCAGAGTTGCCAACAACAATTAGTACTATTACTGTTCCCATAATTTTACTTTGTATTATTAATGAGTACAGGATATATTAATATTATATACGCTGTTGGATCGCGCACGTTAAAACTTAAAATATTTAATAATGGAATTTGGAATGGGTTAAATGGGGTAATTCTTATAGGAGGTCATATAGTACCTAATTCAATATTAGGGGCTAATCTAGAATGGAAAAAAGCTCAGAAAAATAAACAAAAAAAAAATTCTGAGAAAAATATTGATTAAAAAAACAAAAGAAAAGCAAACAAACGTGTCTAGTATGACGCTATGTAGCTGTTGATTTTTCATCTATTTTGTTTACTTTTAAAAATAGCTATTTGTTTAGTTACATGAGGTTTACTCACGATTAGGCTGAAGAATAGTTCCTACAACTCTTATTCATAAAAGAAGATTATAACTTGCTATTATTGTATAAAGAAGATTAAAGAAAACCTTATTATATTAATTTCTAGGCTGTTCTAGCTAAATTTGACTCAAAAGACCGCCTTTTGCTAAACCAAACTTTACTACAGACGTGGTTCCACATCACCAGTCCCGCCATCAGGCAGTCTTCCAAGACCCGGGACGAAACAGGTGACGGTGACGGTCCAAGAAACAGTCGTGGAACCAGCTCAGCAGCAATTACCAGTTCAGCATGAGACACCAGTACAGACCCATCGGCACCAACACGCCTCCAGCGCTACTAAAGAGCTGGATGATCTTATGGCGTCGCTTTCCGACTTTAAGGTCAGTGGTAAAAAATTGTCAATATGCCTTACGTAGGATAGGACTAGTGGATTCAGCGTGCTACTCTCATCCCTGAGGTCATTGGTTCGAACCCAACTGGGCGCCAACGGGCTTTCGTACGGTGAACGAAACCGGCATTCCTTAGTCAGGCAGGCCTATCACCTACTTGCCAATTAAAAACAAATGCTCATGATACAGAAATTTAAGACCCAGAACATAAAAGGTAGCAACTGGTTTAACTTACGTATGATCTTAATAAACACTATCTGGTCAATATATTCTTGAAGCCTTGTTGTATGTCCGAAAAAATATAAACGATTTTAAAACAAATGGTGACTTTCACCAGTATAATACGCGAAATAGAACTAATTTGAGTGTACGACCACAGGCTCCAAAAGATAAACCACTCCTTAATGGAAATTGTATTCGTTTTACAACACTCCCGCGATTAGAGAATTATCACTAAATAAATTCAAAGCCCTTGTTAAAGAAAATTAATCAACAAAGCTTTTATAAATTTGAGGACTACTTAAATGATCCTATCTTGGGATTGAATTGCTCCAGTTCAAACAATTTGTATGACAATACTTGGCGATTAAAAAGAGTGGCGGAAAGTTTCTTGCCAGTTCTTCTTACCGCTCTAGCCTTATTGGAATGGTAGTAAATGTAAATTTATGATTAATTTAACTTGACGATTCAAAAGTGTACTTGGTTATGAAAAAAATTTAGTTTTTGAGTTTGAGAAAGTGAAAATAGTTATTTTTTGTAGTATAATAGTAATATAGAATAAACATAATAAAAACACAAAAATCTTAATGAACGATCAGCTTCAGCTTTTAGTTTCTTTAGCCCATATTACAACGCTTTTCGTTATTTGCTTCCGAACTCGTACTTACCACATCCCACTTAACAAGTTTAACTTCATCATGAAAACAAGAGACCATCCAAACAGTACACGATGTAAGAGAGAAGAGGACCTACACTTAGTTCTCGAGTGTAAAACCAACGTACAATCTAAGTTGGATTTCTTAAAGGAAACTTGATGGTCTACTGGCGAATGTCTCTTCTCCATCAAATCTTAAGTTCAAGGCTCCGATTGTAGTGATAGATTTGTAAGTTTCATCACAGACTCATTAACTTTGTTAATATTTTTAAGCCGACTTTATCATTCGATTTTCGATTCTTATAAATAAAAATAAAGAAGTGAAGGGCCTAACATTTTTATTTTTTTTCTTTAACTTCTCAATCAAGGTAATACAATTATTATCTATAATATAAAAATGAATCGCTAAATGTGTTGGTAAGCGCATAACTCAACAACGCCTGGACCAATTTGGCCAATTATTTTTTTATAATATTCCTTGAAGTAGAGGAGGTTCTTAGAGAGAAAAATTTAAAAAAAGAGAAAGTCTAAAAACAACACTTTCTAATCCCATACAAAATATTCGTAATAAATTTAAAGGCAATTTGAACTTTAATACCATACCATAAAGTTAAGTGAGGGGTTGGGAAGGTAATTTATTTTCGACAAGAGTTTTTTTTTTACTAGCTAGACCGGTGCCGGAGAATAAGTATTTAAAAAAATAAAATAAGGAGGGTGTACCAATAAATTTTAATTTTTTGTTGAACTTGAAACATTATACAGTACGTTACGCGGTGTTTGTTTACGCCCGTTCTGCTCTAGTAACCATGTAATGACAGCAATTAAACAATTAGAGGCCGATCTGGCTTGGCACATCTCATAAAAGTTTAATTTACTGTAAATTCTTTCATAGAAATATAATTCTTTTCAAACCGTATGTGTTTTGAGTCCCAATTTCTGTTTTAATTCTGATACATCTGTAGGAAGGAAGTCTTTAGGATGTCTATAAGTTAAGAAAATGTTTGCATCGATACTTCATCGGTCTTCTAATCCGATACATTTTTTGAGGAATAGACAACAGTCTCTAACTCATTGACTGTGCCAAATGCGTGAACTAGCTACAGACGTATAATATCGTTTATTTATGTATAATCAACTGTCATGGCCACCTCGGCACACTGCACTACACATTTTCCGTTTATTATAATATTTACTAGCCGCCTTTCTTGGCCCATATCTATTTCCAGCTTTAAGTCGCTCCAGCGATGCTGTCATCTCTCTCACTCCTTACCAAAAGCTCACATCTAAAGATAGTACTGTTACATCACAGGCGTAGTGGGGCCGGATTATATTAGAGTACATAGTCAAACATTTCTCTCGGACCGCATTCGCTTCTGTCGCTCACAACCGATCGGATTCCCGTACGTTCTATACTTATCTTGATCTAAAACCGGCGACTGTTTGCCAAAACAGTTTGAAGTTTTGATTGCTCCGTTTAGGATTGTTGATAGTTTATCGGAATTTCAGGTTAGCCCAGGTGCTCCCTCAGTAGACGGCGGCGCTCACGTGTACAGAGAAAAGCGTGCCTGGCAGGAACAATACCGCAGCAACCCGCGGCAACCTGAATCAGCATCTCTGGAGCATATGCTCGGATCCCTAAGAGCGGACATGAGCCGTCAAGGAGTACAAACCCCCCAAAAGGGATGTTGCAACGCCTGTGAGAAACCCATCGTTGGACAGGTGACCTATCTACCTATGAGGATTGCCAGTGACGGGACATGTATTAAATTTGGATTTTTCTCAGGTTATCACGGCGCTTGGTCGCACGTGGCATCCGGAGCACTTCACCTGCGGACACTGCAACCAAGAGTTGGGTACGAGGAACTTCTTTGAACGCGATGGAAGGCCCTACTGCGAACCGGATTATCACAATCTTTTCTCGCCCAGATGCGCTTACTGCAATGGACCAATCTTGGATGTTAGTTAGACCTCATTTCGCCGTTCTAGAGTATATTCTGGATTGATATTGATGCGATTTTATCTTACAGAAATGCGTGACCGCTCTAGAAAAGACGTGGCACACAGAGCATTTCTTCTGCGCTCAGTGTGGCCAGCAATTCGGAGAGGAAGGTTTCCATGAGAGGGACGGAAAGCCGTACTGTCGTGCGGATTACTTTGACATGTTTGCCCCAAAGTGTGGTGGTTGCAACAAACCCATAATGGAGAACTACATCTCTGCTCTTAATACTCAATGGCATCCAGATTGCTTCGTATGCAAGGTTTGTATTGGCAGGGTCGGTTGAGCGTCTACGCCAGGTTGAGTATACATTTTCTTCAGCGTCTAAATGTTGATTCTTACACAGGATTGCCAAATTGCAGTAAAGGGTAAGACGTTTTATGCTATGGAAGGAAAGCCGGTATGCCCCAAATGCGTCGGAGTCGATGAAGAAGAATAATGTATGATCCCAAAAATGAATGATCCCCCCCTTTTTTTCAGCTAAAGCCTAAAGGCAAAACACAAACACACTGACACTATAGATAATAAACGTAACGGAATTGTAATATATTTTTGTATTATTATTGTAAGGTTTATACAATAAAGAGAATAAAAAAAAACAAACAAAAAAACACAAAATATTATTATGAAACAATTGACGTACGTTGCGTACGCGTCAAGGTCGCGTGCGTATACGCATGTAGAAGTTAATGAACGTAATCGTATCGGTTATATATTGTCCTAATATCGGAGAAATTCTGAATGGGGTCAAGTGCTGGACGTATAGGGTTTCCCATTACGCGGGGTTAAAATTAGCCGTGACGTCACAGCAGCCAAACCGGCTGATGAAGACGTTTATAGGCCATTACGTTCTATTTTCGAATTGCAAGCGGTTGCCATGCGCGATGTAAAATGTGTCAAGATCAAAGATGGAACTTAATTTATGACAGATTAAAACCTTTTTTGTTATCATTTAAGATGCGCGTGAAAACTTTTATTTACAATTGTTTGGATAATGTCCAATTTTAAGAGATTCAAACTTTCACAATGTCGAATTGTGTACACAATAAACATATTAACACATTCTTTGCGATTTCAAACTACATTATCTTACTCGCATTCCCATAGACACACTTAAAGATTGTTTTTATAACGTGTGTGTGTGTGTGTGACAATGATGTATCATCTTTTGACAAAACTCCATAGATAATAAAAAGTCATTATACCTTTTTCCTTTTTTTGAAGTCACGTGATCTTAGGGAGCGTTCAAGTGTTACGTCACGCAATTTTTGGAGATTATTGACCCCCCCTCCCCCGTGTAACGCGCCGTATCGTTTTTTGTACCCAAGTATAGTAAAACGTCGTGATCACCCCTCTTTATACCTAAAAGTTACCATTATGTGGTGTAAAATACTGGAAAGTCGAAATGATATTAACACTCAACTCGTAATTCAATCCCCGCCCCGTATCGTAACGTTTTACAAAAGGGAACCCCCCCCCCAAATTCGTTACGTAATACTTGAACGCTCCCCTAACAGATAAAAGTCGAACTACGCCGCCTCAGGAAAACTTTACACAGTTCATAAACACCAAATCTCCATTGAAAACCAATTATCCTAGTCCCTTGAAATAGGTGAGCTTTCTTTGGCTTTTGTAAAATTAAATACATGCCGGTTTCCTTCCAAAGGTTTTCCTTCGAGTGTGTTGCCAATTTTTATAAGGGCAGCTACATTATTTAAATGTTACAAACTCAACCATATAAAACAATTGAAATCTGAATTTAACTAGTACAGCCCCTGGGAGAATGCTCTAGGTACGCTGTTTTTTTACCTGTTTAAAATATATTCTCATAAATTAACTTAAATTCCAGGAATGCCGCGAACCATTCCACGGAGGCTCCTTCTTCGAGCACGAAGGGCACCCATATTGTGAAACGCATTACCATGGAAAGCGCGGTTCTTTATGCGCCGGGTGTCACAAACCCATAGCCGGCCGTTGTATCACGGCGATGTTCCGGAAATTCCACCCGGAGCATTTTGTTTGTGCGTTCTGCCTTCGACAATTGAACAAGGGCACGTTTAAGGAACAAAACGATAAACCATATTGTCATACGTGCTTTGACAAGCTGTTTGGTTAGGGATTAAGATGGCGTTAGCTGGCCTCTGTACTCTATGGATTTGACAGATGACATTTTGATGTTAAAATGAGAGATTTTTATTAAAGCATTTACGCGAGTGCCACATATTTTTTTATTATATGTTTAATTGATTTGTCTTAATTTGATATTAAAAAAATGTCATGATAAATGCATCTGGTGACAGAAAGAGATATTGCTTTGTACTATTTCGCACAATAATCAACCTTCGCACTTTAGAAATATGGTCTAATTTTCGTTATTCAAAAACGTGTTCATAGAGATTTTGCTAAGTAATGTCAAACGTACAACGAATACAAGAATTGTCTCTTTCTAACATTCAATGAATATTGCTTATTCCTCTCACTCCTTATTAATACAATTTTATAAAAACTGGCAAAAAATGTAAGGTCAATAGAAATTATTCCATCTCTTTTCCTCCTATAACATTCAAAAGAGGGAAGGAGAAGGAAATATATAGAGGTCAGTGTTCTTAAAAACCCACAAATTATTTATGTCTTGTAAAGATAAACTGCCATATGTAAAATTAAGGAATCGTTCTAAATGAGACTAGAGAAAAAATCTATTTTAGGTCAAAATATACTATACATAAAACATACATACAATATTGACTCTCAGAAGTGATGATTGAAATGTAATCTTATAAATTTTTACCTTTTGAAGTTATACTTCTTTTCAAATCGCTAAAAAATTTAATTAGTTTTTACAGGCACAGACCATATAATTAATTTAGTCTCGTCTAGAATCTATAGAATTGTCTGTGGTATCGTTTATTGTTGTTCTAATAATAGTTATAACTTAAGATAAAATGTATTTATCTAATTCTGTAGTCTAGAAAAAAATAATGTGATGAATTAGCGTTCGTACTAAATTCTAAAATTAGATAGATTGTTCGGGAATAAAATAAAGATATCTGACGTATTTGTAGATTTAATGACAGATGGCGATGAAAGTTGAGTTGGCGGGAAAAATATTACGGTCATTTTCATCAAAATAATGCAATATTACAGAGACATCTCCAATAATACTGCAAAATTGTATTATTTATAAACATTGTTTTTCTTATCTGTGAACCAATTTAAGAAGTCTTATCATTAATATTATTTTAAAATAATATTTGTATTTATATCTTTATATATAAAAGAAAAATGGTCTTCGTTTGAGGCTCCTTCACGCCTAAACCACTGATCGTATCGACATGAAACTACCACCATTCGATGCGAAATTTTTCCTAGATGGTTTATGGCTATTTATTTATTATTTAGTATTATTCCAACGTTCCTTCATTTTTTTATTGCTGTTTTACTTTTATGAAAATTTATCCATACGGACTTCACCGCGGAAACATTCGGGGAGGCTTCCTAGAACCTCTAAACGTCAACATCTGTTAAAAACTCGATTTTCGAAATATTTAAATTTTCTTAGCGGGAAGTTAAAAAGAAGAAGAATAAAAATATGAAATAAAATAAAATAATGAAACATAAAATTTATTTTAATTCGTCCAGCAAAGCGGGCGCGAAACGGCTAGTATATATATATATATACATATGTCTGTTATGTTTCCTTACTGAATGAAAAATAAAAAATAAATAAATGCAAAAAACGCCATACTTAATAAATAAATATTTTTTTTAGTATTGTACTATTTTGTTTCTACTCGGTAATTATTATTTAAAATTAATTACCTAATAACCAATTCGAGGGTCCTTCAAGAAATAAGCGTAGCAATTATTAATGGGCGGCAAAATCACTTCAGGTGAGCCTTTAGAGGGCTAAGAGCCCGTTTAACTCCTGGTACATAAAAAAAATTAGTATATGAATTTATTTCACTTTAGTATTTTATTCCTTATTAGTGTTACCTCATATAAATTTTAATTTTTATAAAACAAAGTATAATTAATTATAATTTGACTTTGCTACAAATGACAAATATTTTAACCCGCCGGACAATTTTCGTTTTCACAGATAAACTTGAACCCCATGAAGCTCAATGTCGAAGTAGAAATTGTTAACGTAAGATGATCTTGTATGAAAAAGGCTGTGCCTCTGGTTACTGATGCTGACGTTACGTTAACGTTTTAAACTTTGGCAAAATTAGTATGTACTGTCAGCAAAAACAACAAAATTCAGTCTGTTGGTTTACGATTATTTTTGTGTAAAATATAACTACTATTCAAGTATTTGTTTAGTTTAAGGGTATTCAAATTCTACTGAGCGTGAAATATGACTGTTATTTATCAAAAGTTTTTGACAAATGACAGTCATACATACGCCTACCCACATTCAAATCTCTTATGGTAAGTTTGACCCCTGTATGTCAAAAACATACAAGAAGTCAAAACGTTTCTGACAAATGACAGTCCTACATACGCCTATCCACATTCAAAGCTTACAGTAAGCATGACTCCTGTATGTCAAAACATACAAGAAGTCAAAACGTTTTTGACAAATGACAGTCATACATACGCCTACCCACATTCAAACCTTATGGTAAGTATGACTCCTGTATGGCAAAAACATTTTGTCATAAGGAAGTCATAAGACACATTTAGGGTCCGATGTTTTAAGAGGAATATGGCTGAATAATATCGTTGCATTTGCTGATAGTATTTGTAAATTTTTGGAAATATTTTTCAGAGAGTAGATTAAGGCTTTGATTTTTGACATCTATTGCATTAGTAACGCTTTTTATAAACTTCTCTGTATAATTCGATGACATTATCTTTCTGTCAAGATTTCTCTTACATAAGGGGTAAGTTTAAGAGAAGATGATGGACTCGCTAGGTTGATCTTCCAAAAGCTAGATTCTATTCAACTTACAAATAGCGAATGGCGTAGTTTCTCTGACTGTTTCAGAATTAGAAAGATTAGAAGTGTTTAATAAATGTTAAATATTTATTATACAATACGTAGAATTTTGGTACAGGCCTATTCAAAAGTGCTTTCTAGAATTATGTGCTAAATAGGATTTAGTAACTAAGTACAATCAAATTCAGTAATTTAAGGTGTACTAATGCATCTCAACATAAAAAATAGTTTTTATATACTTTACATTTTAAGTAACTGAACTCGTAAAATGTTTTAGAAGATAACCGTTATTTGTAAGTTGAATATTGGAACCGGCTTATGCAAATCGGTTGTATTATTGATCTAAGCATCAAAAGTGCCAAATATATTTGTTTTTACACTCACGGTGAAGGTTAATGTCTTTAAAACTTTAATTAACGGTTAATTATCCAATTTCAATTTTAAATGCGCATCATACAAACTCTTTGTGTTCATTTTAATTCATTTATAACAATTTTGGTAAAATAAATGCAAAAGAAAATAATCAAAAAGTGAAAGATCGATTGAACACCAAAAACATTCATTCACTCATTCATCTGTCTTCTCTATGATAGATAAAGCATAGATACTAATTAGTTACCAAATTGAGAATCATTTAAAAACATGACCCCATAAAAATATATTCATTTGTATTGTAATTTTTTATCACTCAGTCGTGTGTGACACGAATAAATGTTTTCCTATCATTTTTTGTTTATGCAATTATCTTAATTACATTAAATACAAGTGACATTAGTATCAAACTAACTATCCAACGACCAACATTTTTTTTACTATTTTAAATTAAAAAAAATGGTGCGTGTACTTATGTACGCGCGTAAGAAGTTATACTTCTTTGGCTTTTTTATTTTTTTTTTTCGTTAATAATTTAACAATATTTAATATTTAGTATATTATTCAATTATTAATTAATATTAATTATTATTTTATTATATTATTAATTCAATTTAATAACTAGGTATGTTTCATAACCTTTTAACTAAGTAACAATAGGTCTTTGTGAAAAAGCATTGCTAAATTTCTTTGAAAAAATACTTAAAACTCCTTTATTTGTTTAAAAGGTACTACAAATGTCATTATGGTCATTCAAAATTCTTGGCATAGCTGCTAACGTCACGCATATTCTATTTCTTTTTACTTGTAGATTGTCTTATTCCCATCTCGCTCGCGCACGCTCGGCGCCCATACTGATAATTTTGTGTCACGGTGCGCGCGCATCGTAAAATTTCACTCTCATAAATTTTTCATAACGCGCCTAAAGAAGTATAACTTCAAAAATTCTCTTTACTTAGTTAAATTTGCTTGCGGTTTATATAACACACACCTACTTATATAACACATAAACAACATTATCTATTATGTTACGCGACTTCCAAAAGCTGTGATGATATTATCATATCTTTTCCGGCTGATATGAAAAACTGTTATCATATTTTTCTACAGTTTGTATTTCGTTTCATAGATATTTATGTATATTTAAACAAGCTGTCAAACAATACACTATCACCAACAAAATAATTATTTGTTTTCGCAAATTAAAACAAATATGACATAAAAAATCTGCCAGTGTGATGCGCAGTCATGCCAATAATAATTCTGAACCCATTTTACGCACATAATTTAATTAATTATAACTGTTTGTATGTAGTAAGCCATACGCTCAAACTGGGCTTTATAGTAGTCTATATATATTCTTCTAGACTAGCTACGTTTATGTTTTAAGTACTAAAAATTGTACTTTATGTGGAACATTACTCGTGTCGGATATCTATTTAAATGACAATGTAACGTAGCTTGCGTTCAAGGCTGGTAAATAATACATATTATATGCCCTTTATATAAACTGTAATTAATTTTTTTTCACTGTGAGTGGGCACCGATTATTATTTCCATTTATGGAGTCGTAATAGCAATCTAATATTTTTATGATTTATGTATGATTGACATGATTTTATTGAATCTGTAATATTTTAACAAATATATTTAATGTTTTCTTAAACTGACTTTTATTAATCGACCAAAAAATTTCCAATCAAATCTACGTGCATGTTATTGTTATCATTATTCGTTTTATGTCATTAATAAAATAAAATAATATTATTATATATTTCCAAAGCAATGGATAATTACAGAAGATCCAATTATCTTACTTAAATAAAAATGATATTTTTACACACATTCCCAGTCTGTGAACTACATGAGTTTTGAAAATTTTGGCTCAGCTACAAAAAGTCCTTAGTCATACACGATGATTCTAAAAAAAATACTAGGTACTCTGTTTCCATATTATTTTTAAGTATCTTGACGAATTTAAATTAGTTTTTTAAGTATCTAATTACTTTTACCCTAACTGATACTGTATATTGCTTATTTATTCGTATAATGTATTTTCCGTTTTTTTAACGTAACTACAGAATTAATTATTTTAAATTTTCTTAAAGTAGATGTTCCGCCTTCTGTGGGTCTAAGACATGCTGGTTTTCCTTGAACGAGTATTAAATGCGCTCATAGACAGAAAGTCCATTGTTACATGCTGAAACCATTAGGCCAACTGCTGTGGATTATTGACAAAAATTTAAATAAAATAAGTCAATATATATTGACCTTGATTATTTATATTGATAAAATGGTCTCACGGTGGGTTTTTTATAGATAATAATTGATGATAAGTTGTAGAGATAAAACAATTCTTGTAAAGACCGATAGGTATATTTTCCTCAATCGTTCCTCGGTAAGGAAAATCTTTAAATTTAGATATTTGCAAACAAACTACACCACGTGTAATATTGAGGTCATGGTTTCAATTATTATAGCAAAAAATATTATAATTGTATTGATAAGCTTTTGTTTTAACAATATAAGACACTAATCATTACAAAATTAACGTCTTTAAAATTCCTTAGGAATTAATATTATTCACACACACACAACAGTCAACATAATACAAGTAATCCCCCCTGTAACGCGATTTCCGACCTCCATATAACGCGTATATTTCCCCCCTATAACGCGGAAATTTCTCAAGTTATATTTCTGTAGTGTGAAATTTCTAATGGTTTGTTACTTAGTTTTGCATACCTTTTCACCTGTTTCAATTGTGTTTTGTTATAAAATTAAACTAAATAACTTTATTAAATTCGTGTTCCTAGTTTTTGAATTGTGCAAAAAACAGTTAAGCGAGTATACTCCTACAACTCGATTTCCTATAACACCGTCCGGGTTTACCGTTTCAGGATAAGGATTATTTACCTATACCTATACCCTTTGCACTTGGCACACGAGGCCTTTATCGCTTGCTCGCACCGCCAACTCGAGACGATTTTGGCCCAATTAGGTAAAAAATAAAATATCATCAGTTTATTAATTTATATGTCAACAACAAACTTTGATAATTATTACACTCTGTTATAATTAGATTTGTTGTGATATTTAATGAAACAATTGCCAAGATGCATTCTAGGTTAATCAGAACACGTATCACACCTTGGATCTTTTAGCATTACGTGAAGTTTCCCGTTTAGTAGGATTTCATCGGAATAAAACGTAGACGTTTGCTCTCTAGGCTGGCGATATGACCGTCTCAATTGTTCGACAAGTGTTTTTTGTAATCGTAAATGGCAGTAGCTTTTGCCCTTTTGGTCTTTTTTTAATTTATATAAAAGGTATGAATTGGTCAGGGAAATTTCCATGCCCCAAAAAAAGCTTACGCCACCATTTAAGCCATTTACGAAACAATAGGTTGATGCATGCTATACGGCTCGGTCAAAGCCATCCATATATTTTATATAGTCCAATACAAAATATTGGGTTAATTGACCTTGATATCAACACCACCTCGCATGGGCGTATCGTGAATTTGTGTGGCTCTGGGCTATTATGGGGAAGTCCCCCGTAATAGACGCGAAAAAATACACCGACCGAAAATAAGCGTCGGGGAATTCCCCATTCCGTTCGATAAACGCGCATCGCAATTGGGTTAATTAATCTCAGAGATACCAACCTTATGATTAGATTTTTAAGTTTATTCCAGATTTTTTTTAATTCAAAATATCGCGTATTGTTTTCAGTGAGGACTTGGGCCCTCTGTATCACGGGGCCCTGGCCTGCAGCCCGAAAAGCCTTTAAGTAGATCCGCCCCTGCCACCTCGTGTAATTCTTATGTTACCCCTCGTAGTCAAACAAGTGACACTCTCTCTTATCTTCCGCCCTAAAAGTAAGGTGTTGCCCTTCCGCGACCGTGGATTTTGTCGAAAATGTTGGCTTTTTAATGTCGTTGGGCAATTGATTCCGGTTCGTTAAAATTGTTCCAGTAAGACCACATTTCAATTTAGCTAGTTCCTTAGACAAGACGCAGCTGGTATGATATGATGTCCCACTTAGATTTCTTCGGATTGTATGTGAGGAACGACATTCGACCTTTAAAATTTTTTAGTTGATTCGTTCACACATATTATGTGTTCGCCCGGAATAAGATAATCCAGAAACTTTGAGTTCAGATTATCTAATAAGCAGCTTATGCGTTGTAGGCGCTTTCTTGGATTGATGGTGGGTGTTTGAATAGTGTCTAGATGAAGCATCCAAAATATTTGACTGAATCTGTCTCTTATAAATGTGTCTGAATAGAAAGAAATGAGACTAACAACATTATTCGACCAATATTTTTGAATATTCATAACGACTGCAAAATAATTTTATTCTGTGAAAAAAATGTTAAAGAAATCTATTGGTTGTTGTATTTTAGAAACTATTTGTAGTGATGTGTGGTTTGACCAGGTATAAATTGCACGTCTGGCAGCACTTCGTCGTAGTCCCGCAAAGTACCCATGTTGAACTAGTTGCACCTACCACAGATTCACTGTCAACTTATTTAACTTCACTGTCACTTTCTTTACTAACTTCACTGTCACTTTCTTTCGCCGTTTCAAACCTCTGACTCTATCACTGTCTTCTACTCTGGATTCGTTCTTTTCGCGGCATAATCTGCCGGAAATCAATATAACTTCAGCATTCGAAGCGGTACAATCGAAATCCTCAACTGTTCCTTCTGCATTTTAGGGCTCACTTTTTTCTTATATGGCTGTTTCGAACGAATACTACGCTGCGACTTACTGCACTGAGCTAAGACTTGGCTACTATGTCAGCCGAGCCTAGTCCACGAAAGTACTTCAGAGAAGAATGCACATCCTAAAGAAACAGATGGGTTTCAAAAGACCATAGTATCGTAGCAGCGTCGCTAGAGTTGACGCCAGTGATGCCAACTTTTAGTCCAAAAATTATGGGGAATCAAGATATCCTGGATGATTTTTAGGGGGTAGATTAATTTACGGGTATGTACTTTTTTAAAGACGCATATTTCTATACAATTTATATTAATCTTCTAACAATCAACATACTAAACGCAATATAAACACTAAGCGTGACTGTAACTAATACCCCAAGATCGAAATAATAGCACAACAGCTAGAAAAGTAAAAACGCTGTAAAAATTATGTATGAAAAGAAAGTAAAGAAAAAAATATATATGCCAAAAAAAGTTAAGTTAACACATATAATCATTAATTAATATATTATACGTAATGTAAAATTCAATGTATAACAACAACAACTATTTTATAATACTTGAATGTATTTTTAATATATAATAATAATTATTATAATTCCAATATAACAATTGGAATTACGTCTCAAACTGTAAAAACTTTAGGGTAATTGAGGTTGGTCCTAGGTGGAATATTTTGTAGAAAGTTGGCATCACTGGTTTACGCTTCAAAGTTCAAATAGGCCGGACGCTGAAATGGCGCCGTTCGAGTGCAGAGTTAATCGTCACCGTCACGATTGTTTGGCCTTGGTTGTAGAAAGCCTCGCTAGAATATTCCGGCTCGATCGATAAAAACCATCAATTATTTCTTATCGCTTATACGTTTATTCATTTACTAACAGCCATAACTGATTTTGATTTATATAACTTATTCCAAAACCTAGTTATTGCGTCATAATGACTAAAACCCAATTAAACGTTATCAGTCAAAACTATGTAGAATGTATATTTAATGCTATTTGCATTGTTTAAACCGTGACAGAAATTTATTTAAAAAGAATTCGGCGCGATCGTATTTGCTTTCAACAGAAACAGTCATAGGTAATTACATCTGCGCGTCGAACACGTGTAGCCTAATTTACTTTGAATCTTAAAAAATAAGAAATAAAACGCATTTATACGACAGAAAATTATATTTACAGCACTTATAGTACATCCCTACGTATAAAATAACTTAATAAATATATTAAACTTAACCGTTAACTATCTAGTCAGTCTCTGGTGTTCAGAATTGGGGCCTACGCCAACGCAGGGAACAATTCTGAGAATGATTCGCACCAAAAGTCTGACAAGTCTGGCAAATCTAGGTCTGTCTCACTTAGGGGTGAGGCTAGGGACTCATACCCTAAGTCCGAGCTGAGAATTGTGTGTGAGGGAGATAGGCCTAGGTTTTCTTCAATAGATTTAGGGGATAGACACATTGGTGAAAGTAATTTCATGTCACACTCTAGGGTAATGTCCGAACAGTTGGCCAATTTTAAGTCCATCTCCATTTCTTCCGCCTCATCTGACACTTCTACAGTCACACAGTCATTTGCTTCATAACTGGCGTAGAACAGGTCTCCTTTGTCACCATTTTCGTCATCAGTGTAGGGATGTGCATATGAGTGCTCTGATATTCTGTCGACATCATGCTTAATGTTGATCTCTGAATCTAGGATGTCACCTTCACTGGATTCCATGTGCTTTGTTGTGGTCCCCACCACTTGAGCTCCTTCAGAACATTTTCTACTTTCTCCGCTCGATTCCTGGCAACAAAAATTACGGGATAAGTCAAACGCGAATAATATATAATAATAATTATATATAATAATTTCGGTAGTAAATAGAAATATTGGGTCATTCAAAAGGGATGGGCTATTTCTGTATTTTTTTGTTTTGACGGAAATCGAACCTTCGGGCCTCATGTGGTTTACCAGTCAGCCACAGAGACGGTAAAATAGGATAAGATACCTACTCATCCGTTCGGTAAATAATGGTGTAATGACGCAATATTGTTAGTTATTGCATCAGCATTGCAAGGTCCTAATTCCAAAGTTATCAGTTAAATATCTAATTTCATAGCGTTAATTGACTCGTCTATTTTCACAATAGAATATAAATGTTACTTAATTGAGAATGAGGCATTTTTTTGTTTACTTCGAGGTTTTCTTGACGAGTCTGTTTCGATTAAAGCTACAAATTAATAAATTGAATAGTATTTTTTTACACTTACTAGAACTATAAAATCATGATTGGTATGACATGCAATATACAAAAAGATATATTTAGTTTTATATACACATAATTAGGTATTATTTGAGGGCTAAATATAACCTAGTAGATTTTCCATTCGCTGTTGAGAGTGCGATCACATAATACATGCGGTCACAAATTTAAAACTGTTGACTTGCAACAATAGAAACCGGCTGTTAAAGCATGCGTCATGTTTTAACAGCCGGTTTAAGTATGATGGTTAAGTATGATGATAGACTTGAAATCTCCACATATATGTATAGTATAAAACAACGCTGCTTCCCGCCATCCATGCGTTCTGATAATCCTTTAGAGCACTTTTAATAAACAGATTTTCGGTTAATATTTCGTACAACTTACATCTTGACTCGCTCCTGAAGCGCCTGCATCAATTTCTTTGAGAAGGGAGTCAGCGAGCTGATGCAAGGTGTCGAGGTATTCGTCGGACTCGAGGTGTGCGAGGATGTCTGCGAGATTAGACACATCGTCAGAAGCAGACGTGCCGCGCGGATCGCCGGCGAAGGCCCCTCCTTCTGCTGAGGTGACGCTGCTGGTCCTGGGGCCTTCGCGACGGTCCGCGCCGCCGTCTTCAGTGATGTGTTCTCGCTTAGCAGACGCTCGTTCATCGCCTTCAAATCTTTGACCTGGGTTTATAATACTATGTCAGCTCAATGTACGCATTGTTTTGAATGAATGTCTTAAATGTGTTTAGGGAGTTCTCTACAGAACTTTATATCTATATACATTATGTAGAAGTTTTGATGGAAGGTTTTACTTTTGCAATATTTAAAATAAGGAAAAGTTCAACTTTGAATCATCATGACTCACAACCAACTACATCGAGACAGTAATCCTCAAACCTACCAAACAAATATCAATGATTCATTTGTGAATTGTGATAAATTGTGAGTGAAACCTTGAATGGTTTAGATATATTTACAATTAGGTGGTGTTAGTAAGACAGCGTACAATCATGTAGATTAAAAATATCTATGTATATGAAACATACCTCTTTCACAAGTCTCTCATTGATAGCCATGAAGTGATTGATTTTACTCTCCATCTCATCCATCTTTGCCTTTTTACGATCTCGAGATGTTTGTGCCGCGACGCGATTTTTCAGTTTCCTGTTAAAACAAAAAAAAAGTCTCCTATTTGTATTTGAATATAGGGAAACCATAACTTTATTGAATGATGAAATATGTAGACTAGGTGTTATAATAATAATTAATACTTAGTTGTAATTAATCTATACTTATTCGTGAGTTTTAATTATAAATACCATATCGTAATATAGATAGAATACAGAGATTGTGTATTGATATCTAAGTACTGATACATATAATTACCCGAGGAAATTGTTCTTTATTATTAAACTACAGATACATATGCATATTTTGATGGCAAAATAGAATTTCATAAATCAATGTGCATTTCGTTTGGTGTGTACATGTTGTTTCCAATAATAATGGCTTTACTGATAAAATTGATATCTAGAAACATGAAGACAACTATAAGACATAATATAATATAACATAATAATATGCCGTTAGGGTCAATAACACCTAGACAACACTTAGCAGTAGGGTGTTACTAGCCAATCTAACAAGATCCCCGGTAAAGCAAAATAAAAAATAAACAAACTCACAAACTTAAAAAATATCTCACTTACTTTCTTTGCATCTTCTCCTCCCACGTGAGATGGTCTAGTCTTCGTTTTCTGGACGGCGTGGCTGGAGCCACGTCCACAACATCAGAATCTTCGTCCTCCATCGTCACGTAGTTGGGCACGGTGATAATGATCGGTGCGCTCATGATTTTACGCTAACACCAAACTTCACTAACTTTAAAAACTAACACCACATTCAAAATCCTTGTTTTTGCATGCTATTGCGTATTGCGAACTTGTAGAATCGCTACAAAAATTTAGTTTTCCGATATTTCATCACCCTTTTACAATTATAGTCAGCGTCGTACATACTTGAGTTTACGTCAATAACTACAATATAGAGTTCTATAAAACGAGTACGTGCATGTTTCTGATTGGTGAAAAATTTAAGTAGGCGGTACCAATCAGCAAGTTGACAAAGACGACGTCAATTCATAATCTTCATTCAATATTCATTCGATTGGTCATTGTTCCTACTTCACCAATCATTACTCAATCCTTAATACCATAGATTCATTGCAAAATGTTATCTGTCGTAAAAATATAGGTAAAAGATTGACGCTATCGGCTATCGGTCAGACGTCAGTCATAAGTTAATTCATGTATTGTCAACCGCTGACGTCAAAATAGCGGTCAGCGAAATTGTTTATAAATCTCTATAATCATAATTCATATTAGTTCTTGTAAAACGTGCGCAAAACAATGGCGTCCACTAGTGCAGATTCCCAATCTACAATAGCTCAAAAAACATGGGCATTGGCCAATAATATTGAAACTGTATCGAGCGTTGACGAAATATATCGATATGATAAAAAACAACAACAAGATATTTTGGCAGCTAAACCATGGGAAAAAGAGTATGTTCTTTGTTCACCGTACTTGTTTTTTTTACTATAACTGGCTACTAAAGGTAATTTTTTACAGCCCACATTTCTTCAAAGATATAAGGATATCAGCTTTGGCATTATTGAAGATGGTTATGCATGCTCGGTCTGGAGGTACATTAGAAGTAATGGGTTTATTACTTGGTAAGTAACATCAGTGCATAGCTTTAGCTTAATTTTAAAGTAAGTTATTTCTTATACTTTACAAGTTCGGCTATAACTTACATATGTATTTCAGGTAAAGTAGATGCTAATACAATGTTAGTGATGGACTCCTTCGCATTGCCAGTAGAAGGGACTGAAACTAGAGTAAATGCTCAAGCTCAAGCCTATGAATATATGACGGCCTATATTGAAGCTGCGAAACAGGTATCAGGCATCTTGGCATCACATAACAAACACATTGCAAAGTTAGATAATTTAATATCTGTGGATATTATAGTACCTATTCTAACTTTATATTTAATATCTAGGTTGGAAGACATGAGAATGCTATTGGCTGGTATCATAGTCATCCTGGCTATGGCTGTTGGCTGTCTGGTATTGATGTCTCTACTCAAATGTTAAACCAGAACTTTCAAGAACCATTTGTTGCCATTGTGATTGACCCAGTTAGAACTATTTCAGCTGGAAAAGTATGTCTTGGTGCTTTCAGGACCTATCCTAAGGTTAGTACTATAATGTATATGGTTATAACTGTGACAGTATGTTGTTGTTTGTTAGTAAGCATATAATACTTAATATGTATTATCCTACTAATTTACTTTATTATTAAAAACAGAAGATGAATTGTAGTAGAACTACTTATAGCTGCCGTTATAGTAAGTCTTTTGTTACACCATATAGGGTTACAAACCAGCCAATGAAGAGCCATCTGAGTATCAAACTATTCCTTTGAACAAAATAGAAGATTTTGGTGTTCATTGCAAACAGTATTACTCTCTTGAAGTATCATACTTCAAGTCTTCATTAGACAGAAGACTCTTGGACTCTTTATGGAATAAGTACTGGGTGAATACTCTAAGTAGCTCAAGCCTAATCACAAATTCAGAATACACTACTGGTCAGATATTTGATTTGTCTGATAAGTTGGAACAGAGTGAAGTCAGTTTAGGTAAGTGCTAAATTTTTTTACTTTTTTTACTCCATTCAAATTTTAAATGTTTAAACTCAATGCAAGTAAAATAAAAAGTTAAGAAATTGTGACAATAATTGAAGACATCAGTCATGTCTTGCAATATTTTCAGGCCGTGGTGGTTTTATAGTAGCAGGAGCTGATCCTCACGAGAAAAGAACTGAAGATAAACTAGGCAAAGCGACAAAGGATGCTTGTAAAACAACCATTGAAGTAATCCATGGCCTGATGGCACAGATGATCAAAGATAGGCTATTTAATAGTGTCAGCGGAAAGCCTTCTTCTTCTGCTACTCCTATGATAGAATAAGAATTTCTTAGTTTTGAAATTTATGATTTTGGCCATCTCTCATCAATATCCCATGTTTGACATTACTGGTTGAATTCAGATCCAATATGTAATTGCTGCCTCTCAATCAAAAATTAATAAATCTGTAATGTAAACTAAAGTTATATCTTGTCTGTATTAAAGCTATCAAAACATTAGTTTAAATTTTTATTCCAGCTACTTTCATAATATAACTGAGCCATTTATTTGTACCTTTGTATAATCTGGATATATGTAAGGGCAATAGGGTAGGTAATAAATAAAACCACACAAATGATTATATAAACATTCTCACATATTTATTAACCAATTTACATAAAATCATTATGTACATCTTTCACATAGCTTTAATCATCTCACGTGGAGGGCCTTCTAGACTTACATAAAATAAAGCACCAAATTGCGTACTGCGAAGCTCATGCGAAAAACAAAGTGAAAAACACGTGCGTTTAAAATTAAAAGGGATTTACCAAGACATTTAAACATTTTAGAATTAATAAATACCTTGAAAATCAACTAGGTCTTAACCAAGTGAGTCGTGGAGACATTTATTAAATTTTATTAAGAAATATATTGAAACAAGCAGACATAGTAAATGGTACATATTGGGCAAAATTTTTTAAAAGTTGACTTAGTATGTTGGTTAAGGTAGAATAATATAGGAAAAAGCCCACACAAACGGCACTCAAACATAGCAGTTACTTAATTAAAAGTATAGATTCTACTAATAATGCTGATCAACCTCTAAGTTTGAGGTCTATGTAGATGGTCTATTATGCCCAAAAGGGTTGGGTTGGGTTAACAATGTCAGCTATTGTCCTTGCATTAATTAATTTAAACATAATTTGATTGGATAGAATTTAAAATTAATGTTGGAATTGATTTTATGGAATAACCTGAATTTAATTATACTTTTCAAGGATTTGTAAGAAATATAGAATCTGCAATAGCTACAAAAGTAAATCTGTATAATTATTTACATTGCAACTCAAACTTAGTAAGGAACAATAGAATTGACAGCATAAACTAATTTCCCTGGGATTAGTACCCGGGACCTCCACGCTTTGCGTTATACCGCTGAGCTAGGGAGGCGGTATAAATTACTACAATCTAAAAGGTTAGTAAAAACTTAAATAACATGGTGTATGTTCTATAGTCAACTCTGTTAAAACCAAATCACCGCTAGCAAAGCACTAATGGTAATATTTACAAATGGTAAATTTTTCTATAAAAGAACGGAAAGCAAAAACATTTTCCATAGAAAATTTTACAACTTGCAATTACAACTAGTATTTTGATTGTGAGAATCGTTTATTATTCTTTCTTCACTTACAAAACAAAATTGTAAATTGGGAGGTTGGTAAATTTAAGTTGAAATTGGTCAAGCGATAAAAATAATTAAAAACATAAAATTGCGGAATAATCTTAATTAATAAATAAATCGTGATATTGACTACATTAGTGGGTATAGACGCTAAATTAATAAAAATATGATATTAAGTACATTTCATCATTCTTACTATACATCTTATTATACAGATATATGCCACTATATACATTATATAGATGGTTCAGCCCGATTCCTATAATCTAACTGAGAGTAACAGTCATCTCTATTTACGCAGCAAATACCAAATGACAGCAAAACTAAAGCCAATATCTAAATACTTTTAAAAACTATTCAATGAACCCAATATAATATAAATACGATTTTATAATTTGAGAAATATTTTAGAGATTGTATATAATACTGAAAATAAAATATAATACAAAAATATTATTATTTTTAATGTAACAAAAACCCTGTACTAAACAATATTACATTTTATTTAATAAGTTACAAAAAGTACAACTTGGGGTCATTCACCTTTAAAAGGTGACCTCTCAGTTGTTCAATAGTTATAATTACATGAAACAATATTTCATAGACAGTGAGTGTTTATGGCCCTAAATTATTGTCTAGATTTTTGGAAATGTAAATTTTGGATTTGTACCTTTATGTATAACTACTTTACGATAATGATTTTTTGTGTTCAATACTGCACAAGTTAGGTTAATATGTAGTAGAATTGTGATTATAAAATATATGGATATTAGTTTCTAAGATATTTTAGATATGTTTTTAGTCAATCGAGGATTATTTACAGGGTTTTTGTTATAGTAAAATTTTTAATATATATTATTTTGTAATATTGGAGTTCATGAGTAGTTTTTAAAATCAGTTTTATCAAAAGACTCCCCCACATTGATACGCTGGGACCTAGACACTAGTCACACGAAGGAATAAGTCTTTTAGTTGATCTCTCATAAATATATGTACAAAAGGATTATTGAATGGAAAATAACTTTGAAGTATAAGAAATATGTGCAATTTACATAATTTTTATCCTTATGTACACATACTTATTAGCAGGGATGTTATGGAGCTCCGTAACCGTAACCGAAACAATCGGATATCCGAAATAAATATATATCCGTAACCGTAACCGTATCCGTTTCAGAACTTTCGGATAGTTTCGTATAAGGGCGGAGTCTAAAATCTAAATAAAACGACATGTTTCGACAGGTTTTTGTTAATGGTTTCATTACTCACATAAATATTTAAAAAGAAAAGATTTAATATGTTATACATAGGATATAAGTTAATATGTGCAATGTATAAAGCTAAATGTTTTTTTACAGCTCTTAAATTTATTGCATTTTTATTTATAGATAAAACTGAGGAGGATAAAACCTATATATAAAACTAAATTATTACATACTATTTGTGTTCGTATTTTTACTTCAATCTAATAACCGTAACCGAAACTATCCGAAACTAACGGATAATCCGAAATAATTACATATCCGTAACCGTATCCGAAACCGATATAATTTTATTCCTATATCCATATCCGTATCCAGATCCGAAATATCATATCCATAACATCTCTACTTATTAGCAATATAATCTAAAGTGGAATGTTAAAGAATCTCTAAAAGTGTGGGATCTACCGCTATCCATTGAAGCTGCTCTGACAGGACCAATTTCTAGAAGCCAATATGGCCTACTGAGACACTGTACCGCAAAATATTGATGATATTGCGGGTAGTTGGATATTTCTTTAACAGTAATTTATATTGTACCTTCAAATATTAATTGCGCATTTACGAAAGAAACTGTTTATTTAACGATTTATTAGTTTAAAAATAGTATTGAAAAGCTCAAATCTCAATTGGAATCTCAGAACCAAGCAGATAAAATCGTCAAATATTTTTCATAATTAAGCTGCCTTTGCTTATATTGTATGTAAATTGATTTATTGAGTCAATATTTTCTAGTCTTTACCATCATCATCCAATACTATACAATATCATCCAACATCCAGCGAGTAGTTCCAATGTCCGCACTAGAAATTAACAGGTCGTCAGTTGAACAAATCCGTGGGAAAACTGTTGACTTCCGCCTGTTCCAATACTGGGTTGCCATCGATTGTGTATGATATCCTTATTCTTAGACGGAGTGGGGTCTAAAAAATATTAAGTTAAAATTATAAAATTAGTAAGTATACATTGTAAGAGAAAAGAAAAGTTCCCTTATACTAGATATTTTGATTGTCGATGCCAATACTTTAGTTGGCTTTTAACTGCTATCGCGCGTAGTATTTTTTCGATACCAAATAAAATAAAATACAGAATTACATAAATCTTATAAATGTTAATTTTAACTATTAACAGTTATTTATTCTATTTTAATATAATTATTATCCTTAATTCTTAATTTAAACTAAAAATCTTATCCAAGTTTGTGACTGTTTAAATTTTACAATAAAAATTAAAAACTTTAACCAAACTTGATATATTTTAATTTAATTTTATAAGCGTTGATATCGATATCGATGATATTTCTATAAGAGTATCGGCATCGGTATCGTATCGGCAAAAAGGCGTATCGATGCATCGGTCAATAATCTCCAAAAATTGCGTGACGTAATACTTGAACGCTCCCTTATACCAAATATATTTGGGAAGTTCTCATGAAAGCTTCACTGAAACTATAATACTGACCTTAGAAGGATTAGTTACTTTTAGAAGTTGGGTGATCTCTCCTTGTGGTGTGAGAACGCTTCCCGATGGAGACATCATGTCCAGACGGAATGTCTAAAACAATTTTATTTTTTAATACCTGACTAATTGGTTTGAATTGTACAGGAAGAAGATATACCACGTTATAATAAATGAAGTACAGTACAGTAAATCCCTTTATAACACGGTACTTTTATAACGCATTTTCAGTTTCTCGTATAACACGGGTATTCACCAATATAACGCGGGGATTTCACACATTATATTTCTGTACTGTGACATTTATAATGATATATCGTTCATTACATAGTTTTTTTCTTAATATTCGATTTAAATTCTCTTTAACGACAAAAGTTTAAGTTAACAGGCGCGTTGTGCGATAATAGTTCTACAACGCGTTTCCTATAACGCGGAGCCAAGCTACGGGATTGGATTGGATATTGGAGGGATTACTGTATGTTTAGAACTTCTAACTACTAGAAAACTACGCACTTATACATTCAAACACTTTCTTTAAATATTTTATATATATATATATATGTTACAGTTAACACTAGTTTTTAGTTAAAACTCGTTTTCCCTAGTTAAAAATAGTTTTTACTAAATGCCTTTGTCAAAACTAGAATTAACAAGTGAAAACTAGAATTTACCACTGATATAATTCATTTTCTGATAAAACTAGTTGTCACTCCGAGCTTCAGTTACAACTAGCACTAGAGAAACTAATTTGAATTTTGGGATTGAAAACAAGATAAAGTTTTAAAAATATTTATTAAAAAGATCTAGGGTATAGAAACATAGTACCGTACCTAGTAAAAAAAACTTACACTAAAGGAACATTTTAGGGAACATCAGCATAAAGTAGTTGCCAAGGTGACAACATTAATTAAAAGTAAATAAAATAATCAAACAAATCAACAGAATACAACCATAAAATTTAAAAAAGGAACATTATAATAATATTTTTAAGGGATATTGGTAAACATACAATAAAAAAATAATCAAACAACCTTAAAATTAAAAAAGATGACGATCTACTTGTTATTGCAAGACAAACTATCGTGGCATTTTGAATTACAAAGGTAGCCATTTTTCTTGCAGAGACACCTTTTTGACATACATCCTTTCTTACATACGCAGCGCATAAATCCCTGGCCTGTTCATTTTGTTAAATGTTCCTTTTTTAAATTTTATGGTTGTATTCTGTTGATTTGTTTGATTATTTTATTTACTTTTAATTAATGTTGTCACCTTGGCAACTACTTTATGCTGATGTTCCCTAAAATGTTCCTTTAGTGTAAGTTTTTTTTACTAGGTACGGTGCTATGTTTCTATACCCTAGATCTTTTTAATAAATATTTTTAAAACTTTATCTTGTTTTCAATCCCACAATTCAAATTAGTTTCTCTGGTGCTAGTTGTAACTAAAGCTCGGAGTGACAACTAGTTTTATCAGAAAATGAATTATATCAGTGGTAAATTCTAGTTTTCACTTGTTATTTCTAGTTTTGACAAAGGCATTTAGTAAAAACTATTTTTAACTAGGGAAAACGAGTTTTAACTAAAAACTAGTGTTAACTGTAACATATATTATTATTATTATTATAATATTATTTATAAGTCTTAGTACTTTAGTAAATGTTTTGTTATATTTAGTATATGTTTCCACCGAATTGTATCGTATTAGTATTTGTATTGTATAATTTTTATACCTCCGGGATTTGAACCCGAGGCCTGCAAATACAAGATATACATACTCTGGGCACGGCTGCTTGAAAGAGGAACTCGCTCATAGCAGTGTCAGCAGTGGAATGCGCCTTCATAGTGATCGTAGCCGTCTCTCCTCCGCGTTGGACGTGCAGTTCTACTTTGAGCCCATTACGCTCTAGAGCTGTTACTATGGTATCTGAAAAAATGTTATAAGCTGAATTAAGTTTGGTGGCGGTTTTTTGTATGGATGTTCAGATATGAAGCTGGGTAACAACTTTAATGGTTTAAAGTATGAACTAACATGAAATTAAGGGGTTGCGACGCTTACAAAAACTAAGTAAAGATTCATAAATCTAAGTGACACTTCAATACAAGTGCAGCCGAACTAGTCCATTATCGGATACATATTATTATATATATTTGTTATATAATCTGTTTTTATAAATGAACTTATTATTTATGGATAAACGGTGCAACTGTAATGCCCGAATTAACAACTGATAATACCTGAGCATACAATTAAATAATAAGTAACTCATAATTAACCTCTCTGAGTATGGCTGTGCTTTAACGTGCATGGCAATTCATTTGACATGGGTTCGACTCCTAGCCAAATAATATTTCAAAATAAAAAATCGGTTTGATAGGCACAGAATCATTTGCGTAATAAATATATATATGTTCAGCCCCGTATAATATTCCTTCTATCACAAATCTGGATTTGAATATTATATCGATTATGGCAACACATTTTACGATGGAACATAGACAATAGAATGTAAAGACAATATGTTAGCATAGAAATTTTCACATTTTTTTAATAAAAAAGTGAATTAAAAAAACATACCAGGCGCTTGCATCTGTGTTATTGGGGCTGGCGATGTAAATAGGCCGTCAAGTAGGGGCGATACGTTGTTGTTTGCTACGCTCATGGGCGTGGTGATAGGCGCACCCATTACGCCCATGGGCGCCTGAGCAGGCGCTGTTAGGTCCAGACCGCTTAGGAGATCGAGGATATCCTGAAAATTTACGAAATCATACAGTTATTATGTATATAAAAATCATATTCTACAATGAATTTCTATGGGTTTTTTTAATGGCCCTTATTTACATATTGTCGTTACCAATTACCGAAAAAAGAAAAGATATACAATTGTTTTTTTACACAATAATTAAAAATAAATAGCTGAAGATGTATTTTATAATATGAATATTATATTACATAAATAACAAATAAAAAAAAATTATGACCTATTTTGTCATCAATAATTGTCTCCAAAACTTAGTGTTACAAAAAGATAACTTTTAATACCTATTAACATTATTAAACTTTTAAAAATTGGTATACTCTTTTCTGGAACTATATTATTAATGCTAAACTAAACTATATTATCACTGAACCGACTGAGACAAAACTACTTCCATAACTTGTAATACTCATTCAAATCATCTTGACGACGAGTAGGCGTTGCCGGTATTTTGAGAATTCTTCAAATTCTTGAAGGTATCGTTTAATAGGAGAAATTCTTACATTGGTTGTATTATTGTTAGCGGCAGGTGGTGCGTGTTCAACATCTCCATTGGACAATGGCTCCGAACCGATTATTAGATCCAACAGCGCGTCCTGAAAAAAATTGACTAAATTAAAAAACAAAAACACTTTACCAGGAGTTGTGTAACCTAAAGTTAATTATATATACGTCGGGGAAAGACCGGATTATCAGGATTTTTTATGATAGAGTCAATTGATTGTTGATTATTATTGTTACTTTGGTTCATAATTGAGATTACTTCTATTACTATTAAAAATCATAATTTAATTTAATTCTATTTGTTTGTGAAGAAAACCCTCTACCCCTAATGTAATGTTATAAGCCTTTGTTTTAAAGTTTTAAACGATTAAAGACTTCGCTTCGACTAGTCTTTCATTGAAAATCCCTCCAACAACCGCCACCGAACTTAATTTAGGTTGAAACGCTATTACACTACGCCTAATCCTTTCAATCCGATAAGTTTCGGTTAAGGTCCCACGCCCCACAGTGGGGTAATTTGATTGTTAAGGGTTATTCGAAAATTATATTACATATTTATTAAATTATATATTTTGAATTTCAGTTTTACAATTGATGTATGTTACATGGGGGGGACTTAAAATAAAGGGGAGATTAGATAACAATAATAGACAAGCAACATAGGAGTATCTATGGGAAAACACACGCTTTAAAAATAAATTCCATAAAAATAATGAATACCTGATCGGGCTGCGTAGTATGCGCAGGCGCAGCTGGTTCGATTTCTGTGTCGCTGTCGTCTCTCTCTCCCGTGCTGACCACTTCCATGGCTGGCATTCTCTCCAGCAGCGCCGGTCGCAGGTTCGCGTATTGTCTGAAACATACATTTATATAATATAAACAATCTACTTAATAACTACCATTATATATAGTCAATCCAATCCAAGTTTGGAGAATTTTTAATAGATTTTTTTTATATAATATAATAAGAATATTTCTATTTGTTACTGTAATCTAGTATTAGGTGCCTATTATATCCCTGAGGTCGTAGGTTCGATCCCCCCCGGCTGTGCACCAATGGATTTTCTTTCTATGTACTCACTCTCAAACGAAGGAAAACATCGTGAATTGCCTTAGACCCAAAAAGTTGACGTGTGTCAAGGCACAGAGGCCGATCACCCACTTGCCCATTAGATTGATAAATGATCATGAAACAGATACAGAAATATGAGGCCCAGACCTAAAAAGGTTGTAGCACTGATTAATATTATTTAGGATTAAAATATTCTTACCTAAACAGCTGCGACAGTTCAACACCACGTTGTTGCAGCTCTATGTGAATATGGGAGCCAAATGTATCAATGATGACGCGTATTTTACTGAAAAAAAAAGTGTTTTATTCAATACTGGACTCAAACGATGTTTTGGCTTTTTTATGTAATAGGAGACACCTGATTTAAAGAAGGCTCGCATGTGCGTTGCCGTCTTTTTAAGAATTGGTACGCTTTTTCTTAGGTTAGAAATAAAATTAGATAAACTGCAATGTTGTTAATAATAATGGATAGGTGGACGTTAAAGATATGGAAAGTAGTAAGGGGAAGAAGAGGGAGCTCCAAAAATAGGTGGGAAATAGAAGAAATAGAATTAAGCGAAAGGAGAAAGAAAGCCATGGACAGAGATTATTGGAAAAAGCTGGAGGCATTTAGTCGTGAAGGGACTAAATGCCGTAAGAAAAATTTATAAAACAAAACTAAGCAGTATATTCCACTTTTGTAATGTAATTGGAAATTAAACAGACTTTTATTAAAGTCAAAAATCAATTTATTCATGTAGGTAACACAATGTACACTTATGAACTTCAAAAAAGAAATATACATTAAATGCTTCTAATTTTACATTTGCTGCCAGTTCTCAAATCAAGGGCGTACAACGGATTATCATTAAAGGAGTTGGAGGATTTGTTATTTTCATTTCCTATATCTAGAACAGCCGTAAGTGCTACGGGCCGTAAACTTTTGTATACGACTCGTATTGAAATAAAAATGGGCTCATAGTTTCTGAGAACGCTAAAACCATTAAAAATACAATATTCTCGAGATGGTATTTATATAAAACCGTTTTTATAAAGTGAAAACCATAGACAGTTACAACTTACTCTTGGCTGGGTTGTGTGGTGAATCGAGTTGACAGCTTGGCCAGAGACAACAGAAGGAACTCCTTCGTGGTGATTGACAGTTGCGTGGACCATAACAACTTCTGGTATATATCGATCACGTACTCTTCCGACGGACGGACAAATTCATCTGGAAATTATTATAAAACATTAAAGTAATGAGAATAGTGAATATTTATGGTGTTTTTATTTTTTAGAATTTCATATAAATTAATTCTGAAACATTTTAATATGGCAATTTAAAAGTTAGTCTCACAAATCTGCCGTTTTTTCTGAATTAAAAATCAAAAAATAGTCTATGAGGCTGTACATTTTCACTCAGGCTTTCTTAGTTTTGGGAGCTACTAATACTTGAATTACGTAACGAATTTTGGAGGGGGGGGGGTGTCCTTTTGTAACTTTTTACTATACTTGGGTACAGAAAAACGGCGCGTTACACGGGGGGGATATCATAATTCATATCATAACTAACTTTCTCTATTATTTAAAGCACCCGGATGACACAGGTACCGTACATATAGTAATTCTGATGGCTTTCTATCTAGGATACAACTACATACCAATTCCATCATCATCGACCATGGATATGGCGTTGCTGGCTTCGGACACCAACATGTCTCCGTACTCTCCTATCGTCCAAGCAGCCACCTGTAATAGGACATGGAAATATATATAAAAAAAAAAAACGGTTTCGGCTTTACATTTTTTTTAACGAATATATTTATATGAATTTTTTATTTGGTAACATATTGCATATAAAAATAAATAACTATAGGTCCTTCTACAATCAAAAAATACTATTTCAATCGTAGAGAAAATAAAAAAATTTCATCCCGTTTTTGCTAACAACCTTGAATTAAAAAAAATAAAAAGTACGTAACCCAAAAAAGTATTCAATAAGGAAAAAAAATCTGAGACGATACAGGTACATTCATTGAAAACATAAACAAATATTAATTGGTACAAAAAGCAAGAAATCTATTAAATTGGCCAACAGTACTGTAAATCTTTATATATACATAATTCTACTGTACGTGTGTATGTCACTGAACTCCTCTTAAACGGCTGGACCGATTTTAATGATTTTTTAATGCATTTGGGTGGATGGTTTAGATTCACAAATCAGCCCGGAAGATGGCGCTGCAGTAAACAGCAAATAAACAGCTGGTATATATATAAATCTACTGTCCATGTGTTCGTAATTAACTCCTAAACGGCTGGACAGATTTTAATGATTTTTTTTTGTATATAAGACGTGTGAACAGGACAACGTCCGTCGGATCCGCTAGTAACTTAATGACCATATAAACCCATCTTTAAAAATACCTGAATAATTGGCTGTTTCTCAGTAGAATCGCCACAAACAGCTGATCTTTCCAAAGAGATCCACAATCGCTGAGACGCGTACGCCTGCCTCTCACCGGGCGCAGACGATATTATTTGTATCGTGTTCGATACTGTATCATCGCGAAGGTAATTCCCGGCCTGTAATAATTGCAAAATCAAAGTTAATTAACACGAAAGTTTAGACATAAATAAATTCCATAAAGTTTAGATGTCTTAGATGTTATTATTATGTTATACATTATTTTTATTGGTATATAATATAACGACCGTAATGTTTCGCTTTAAAATGGTAACCATGGCAACCAATAAATCTTTAGACTACGCTTCGTCCATAACCTTTGTTTTGAATTGTGAAGGAAAGTTTTCATCGAAAATACTAATAAAAAAAACAGTCGCGCCTAGGCTTCATTTTTTTTTATTTCTGTGTTTGACAATTTGTTTTTTGTGATTTCTTTTTTCTAATATGCAAGCAGATCAGCCTTATGTTCTTAACACACGCCGACAACCTTTTTGGTCTAAGGGAGGCTTCCTCACGATGTTTACTTTACCATACGAGCGTGTGTAAATGCACACATATTAAATTTATAATTTTTGTATAATATAGTTTAATTATGAATTTGTGTCATATAGAAATCATAAAATAAAGTACAGTTAACATGTCAAAAGGAAGATACTGGCTGCCAACAACACAGGGAATTCTAGTGTGGGGGCTGTGCACTTCATTTTACGTAAATATCCTGTTATACTGTATAATAAAATTTTTCTTTCTTTTTAAAAAAAACCATTAATTCTTCAATTTTGAGCCAAGCCACACGTAATTCTTGTAAGAAATAGCAGCTCATATAATTATTTTCTTATTCAAAAATATTATCATTATCACTAGTCTAATATATAACACTCGTGCCTCAATCGCTTGAATACTCCTCCGAAACGGCTCGACCGATTCTTATGAATTTTTTATGCATATTCAGTAAGTCTGAGAATCGGCTACTATCAATCTTTCAAACCCCTAAGTTTTAGGTGTCCGACCCAATTTTTTTTGTTTTTTTTTGTTTTTATTTTGTATGAAAGAGCATACAAAAATACATACAACCCTAATTTTTACCCCTCTACGATCAACCCCTATTTTTTATTACTGTAGATAGTTTTTTTTATTAAATTAAAAAAATGTTTCCTAGAAATAATATACATACATATGCCAAAACGACGTTTGCCGGGTCATATATTTCAAGAAAGTATTGGTACTCGAATAGCTAAACATTCACGAAGAATTTATTCTTGCTTACCTTCAATAAGACCTGGAACAGCGTATCCAAATGCCACTTGCTGGACGGCGCATATCTCTCAGCGGCCAGAACCATTGCACTGGAGCAATGCGCTTTGAACTCCGCATCAGATCTCTCCAGGAAGAGGAGCAGCTCCTTCATCATTGCACGGATGTTTTGACTGTTGATTAGGGCGAACGAGAGCTCCATCGCGCGACGACGAATGGACACGTCTGGGTCCTAAAAATTTTAACATTTGAATAAAAATCAGATTTCTGTATTTTCGTGATCATTTATTTTTTCTAATAGGCAAGTAGGTGATCAGCCTTCTGTGACCGAGATTCGACTTTTGGGCCTTAGGCACGTCTTGTCCTCACGATGTTTCCTTCACTGTACGAGCGCATATTAAATGGACACATAGACAGAAAGTCCATTGGTACACAGATTGGGATCGAAACTACGTCCTGGGATGAGAGCGTTCCGTTAAGAACACTGCTCATTATAATATACATATCATATAATAAACCTGGAATATAAAACAATAGAAAAAAATATTAGAAAACATATGTCTACTTCTAGCTATTTCAAAAAAAATACAGGACAATCAAATTAAAAAAAAACTACTTTGAGTCAAAATTCAACTAACGTATAATAGACATGTCTGTTTTTTTTAATATTTTTAATTTTGATACTTTCTTTCCTCTGAAAATAATAGGGATAACAAAAAAAACACATCGAATTGATAATGATTCGGATTTTTGAAGTCAGTTAAAAAGGTTTCTTAATTTGTTTATCATTCCTTGGACCACACTCCAAGCAGTTTTAGTGGAAAACTCATTAGACTTAGCCATGTGCCGTACAGACGGCGAGGCCCCAAAAGGGGCTGTCAGTATTTGAAAGTATTTCATCAAAATCCGTTTAGCAGTTTAATTGGAATATCTTACAAATACATCGTCAATATTGAGATGTGAAATACACTACTAAAGTATTCCCGAACCAATTCGACTTAGGATCCAGCCGTACCAATTGCTGGCAGCGCACTTCTGGCAGTGTGTGTCCATGGCCGGCTCGATTCAGAAGAATCACTTTTTGTTCTAAAAAACTAACCTTCAAACACTCCAATATAGTTGTTCTGTGCCGTTGAACCGCTGACGTATCAACATGGACCGTCCTCAGGAGTGTATTGAGCGCCACATATCGGATATTCTTGTCATTATTAAGAAGGAAACGGCCCAAAATATTGATGGCCAGCACACGCAAGCTACTCTCAGACTTAATGTCCATGATAGAGAGTACTGTTTCGTATAATATTGTGTTGCCAACGTTCTTGCTCGTTTCAGTATTCGTGGCGACTTGGGCAAGGATATCGTTCATCGCTTCGGAGGCTTCAGCATCGTTTTTGCCTAGTATTCGGAGCAGGCGAAGAATTTTCACCTGAAAAGTCCATATTTTTATATATCCTCAAGTTTTGTCAAAATATATATATAATAGGGTGGAAAAACTTGGAGGGGGCCTTCTCCCGGACAAGGGCCGCACCTTAGAGTATTTAAAATTGTACAGTCAAAACTGTTAACAACGATACCCTTTAGAACAACATACCGGTTATATTGACCAAAATCAAAGGTCCCGGATGAATTCTATTGCATTAGGCACTTAATAACAACGTCATCGGCTGTTACGACTATCGGTTTTTGCGATCAAATATGAGTAGTCCCTTCAATGTAGTTATAATAGATTTTGACTGTATATTTGTTTTTGTTAAATGTATGTATATAAGACGTGGGTGAATAATGGCTTATTATTATAAGTATAGATAGTGCAATCCACGAAGACGCGCCCCACCAATTTTCGGATCGCGGGGTGCGGGGATTTTGTCAGCGTCAGTTGCGAATTGTCAGTGGTTCATTGTAGTGTGCGTGTGTACAACACACTCAAGGAAGCTTGCACACATATAGATAGATATATTGCACACATAGACCAACCAATATCAAAATGATTTTTTCTAACGAGAACCGGTTTTCATTTGTTTTTTTTTTCTATCTATTAACGTTTATTGACTTATGTTTCATATATTTTGTTTTTCAATGTAATCTGTTTTGAATTTGTATATTGTCTAAGTGTTTTCTTTTATAATATGGATATGTTTAGCTGTAAGATTACTTATAAATAAATAAATTAATTCATGAAAATTACTTGATTCATATTCATATAAAGATCTGTGGCACTATTATGACGTAAGGTCGCTGTCAACCAAATACGATTCGCTTTCCGCACGCTAGTAGCTCATCTTTCCTAAACATTAACTCTAGAAGAAAGCCTTACCTGAAGGAATGGGTCGGAAACACCGCTAACATCATGCTCCGGTGAATAACCAGCAAGTATGAGGTTCTTCAATATTCGCACCAGGTTCGGCACAATCTATAAATGTTCCTTATTAATGTCTTATAAAACTAAAAGTATTGCTCACAAAGACAAAAAGCCATTTACATCGACAGGCATACTAAATACGAGTTGAAAGAAAGAGTTCAAAATACCATGTCTGAGTGAGTTCCAAGGGCTGAACAAAAAATTTCATACTATTAACCAATAAAATAAAAAACCCTAGTCTGAGGGCGCTAAATGAACTATGATTATAGCAACATTTATTAAAGTCATACAGACAAGTTCCACAGACTACCTAACCTACAAAATTTTAACCCATTTACAACCGACAAGATACATATTTAAGAATTACACCACGCACATTTGGATCGACATCACACTTTGACAGGTGACAATGACATGATCAATATCGTTGCCATTTAAAGAAATTAGTTTCAATACTTTTTCGCAACGACAAGGTTTTTTATTTTATTGGCTAGGCTTTACTTTTTTATTATGATAGACGTGTTTTTTGAAGGATATGTAATTCCAAAACATACTGTTTAGTCATCTAGTTTATTTTATAATACAATAATAAATTAATAAATTTTCTTCACAGAACAAAACATTACTTTGCCACTCGGTTTCTCACTGGTCTACATACATATAATATATAAAAAAAACATTTACCCCCACCACTTATTAGACACAATTGAGTGCTTCGCTCAAACGTGTATATCTTTGTATGGTTTTTCTGTATGTAACGCTTTGTGTATGTGAATGTTATCTCAAATTTAAGTCCATATAGCACGGTACGTAGGTACTCGCCTTACATATAATATAAATTAATGTAAATACCATTCGTTTTTACCCAATAATTGTAGCTTCACAATCCAAAGATTCACAATGATTACATAAGCAAGACAACCCCAAACTACTGCACTATGAATTTAACATGAATATAGAAAAAGTTAAGAACAAATTTGCTTTGAAAGCGATTGTCCTTTGAACAATGAAGCTCATATATAAAATACCCATACAATATACATATTTAAGAAACATCTTGTAAACAATATGAATTTTGTAAATAAAAAGCATTCAAATAAGTTGAAGTCTAGGGGTCATTCACCTTATAGTTTTAACCTCACCTAACCTGTTTGCTATAGAATGTCGGTGCTGCTACGAATAAAAGTATTTTGTCAAAAATCAATTAATTTTATGATTATATATGAAATCTATGTATTATATGTATGCTACTAAATAGTTTACAAGTTGTTTATTAAAAATGTACCAACATTAACATGCTTAGTTACGTCACGAATAATTTGTTGATCTTTGTCCTTACGCTATTATAATAATAGAATGAATCTCTTGTAAACTATGATCAATATTGTTGTAATTATGTTGATCTGTATTAATCGCTTTCTGTATGTAATCTTTCGATATAAAATCGATTTACTTATAACTCCGTCATCAGGTCTGAAATAGGTCATAATTGCCTGATGACACTCTTCAACGATTATTAAAATTTGTTACTTTTTTAACAAATGTTTTTTTTTTAATTCATTCAATACTTTGTCCCTAGATTTATCAAAATAAGATCAACGAATCATTCTCTTGTGCAAGGTACATCGTAATGATTACCTCGCGCTGTCCGCTCTCCTAAGGACAACACAAACATACATTAGTATTGGAGATTAGGCATAAATCTAAATAAAGAGCAAAATTATATTCTTGTGAAACGTTCTAACTGTGTGTATGACAGCTATACACGCGAACTCCTTATATACAGGGTGGCCAAAAAGTCGTGGATCAAACGCAAATATAGGATAGATGAGGTCATCAGCTGCAAAAAATTGTTCTACGGGAGGTCTCTAAGCTCAAACCCTACAGAGTTATAATTCATTTTGCGTTTTAATAAGAAAATTGACTTTTTCTACTAATTCTTATTAAAATTCGGAAAAAATTTAAATCCTGTACCTTTTTCATAATATCCACTAGATTGGTACTGATTAGTTCTTGCGTTAGACATACTATTTATAGGTTTTTATTGAGTGTATTGAAGATTTAGATTTAAATTAACTTGTACGCTATTTTTTACCTTGTTAATTTGTTAATTACTACAATTAATAAAAAAATTCAATTTGTATTTTTTTTATTAAAAAAAAAATTAAAATGTGCATTGTAGACGAAAAACTAATTGGTGATAAAAAAAGGTCCATCAAAGAAATATTCTTATATCGTTTGAATATTCGTCTTTAGTGACTTTCAGTAACGTGTATGGCCTCCATGAGCCCTAATCACGGCTTGACAACGACGCGGCATGCTTCGTATGATCCTCCGAATATCTTCTTGTGGAATTCGCTCCCATTCTTCAATCAACGCTTCAGTGAGCTGCTGCAGTGTTTGAGGTGCAATCGGACGCTTCCGGATGCGCCTGTCAAGCAAGTCCCAAATGTGTTCAATTGGATTTAGGTCAGGGCTCATGGAAGGCCACTCCATTACACGGATTTCCTGCTGTCGTAAGTAATCTGACGTGATGGCTGCAGTATGCGGCCTGGCATTATCTTGCATTAAAAGAAAATCTGGGCCCATACCATATGCTGCGGGCCAAACATGATGTTCGAGCACATTTTCAATGTAAGTTTGAGCACACAAGCGCCCGGGAACAACGACGAGATCTGTGCGCTCGTCCAAACTAACTCCGCCCCAAACCATCACAGAGCCACATCCAAATTTGTCATATTCCTGGACTGCTGCTGCACTGTATCGCTCGCCTGGGCGTCTGTAAACACGGAGACGACCATCGCAACGTGTTAGACGGAATCGTGATTCGTCAGTAAAAAGCACTGGCCTCCAATGTTGAAGTTGCCAATTAGGGTGATTTTGCGCGAACTGTCGGCGAGCTTGTCTATGTTGAATTGTTAGACGCACAGCCCGAACTGGTCGGCGTGATCTCAAATTGGCTTCCAACAACCTATTTCTTACCGTCTGGTCGGAAATTTCTACACCAGTAGCCGTCCTTAGTGTATTTTGAAGATCTCTTGCAGTTGTGGTGCGGTTACGTAAAGCACAGTTGACGATGTAGCGATCTTGCAAACGTGTAGTTTTTCTCTTTCGACCTTGACCACGCCTTCGTGAGTATTCTCCCGTCTCACGGTATCGCTTCCAAAGTCTGTAGATAACAGATGGGGCTACTCCTAGATCATTTCCTACATAACGCATAGTTCGACCCTCTTCAAGCAAAGCGATAGCTCGGGAGACATGCAATTCAGTCAGATCTGGCATTATGACCTAAACTCACTCGCTTCAATGAATAACAATACTCAAAAGGCTCACTTCAATTTCTATTAATACTCAAAAGATTGAAAAAAACTACTTAAAATGTGTTTTCTGTGATTAGAAAGTAATGAAAATTCAAAGACGTCACTTTGTTTTTCGTCTACAATGCACATTTTAATTTTTTTTTTAATAAAAAAAATACAAATTGATTTTTTTTATTAATTGTAGTAATTAACAAATTAACAAGGTAAAAAATAGCGTACAAGTTAATTTAAATCTAATTTTAGTTTAAGCAATAGAAAGGAGAAAAATCTTGTTCCGCTAATTGTTTTGAGCAGTATATTATATATTATATAGATATTAGAGCAACTCATGGCCATGTGTAATACCTTTTCAGAATCCCTATTAAATGCGCAAAAACTTGTAATACAGGCTTACTTTTCAAAAAAGATTTTTTTTTTCTCGGGGTCCAAAGTAAACAAAAAGTTTTAATTTTAATAAGAATTAGTAGAAAAAGTCAATTTTCTTTAAAAACGCAAAATAAATTATAGCTCTGCAGGTTTGAGCTTAGAGCGTAGAACAATTTTTTGCAGCTGATGACCTCATCTATCCCCTATTTGCGTTTGATCCACGACTTTTTGACCAACCTGTATAGCCCGAAGCTTCAAGTGAATTTAAACAATTATTAGGTATGTATATTGTAAGCATACGTATTATTATATGTACGTAAAATTAATTGGTTCTGAATCGAGATATTGACTGTAAATAATTTTAAAAACATTAATTAATTTTCTAATATCGTAAGTATGAATGCGTTTATATACACTATTTTAGCATGTTTAAATCGGCATATCTATAGTCAAACTAAATAGATGGTTTTACCGTCGAATTTTCCTCGTATAGGTGAAATTATAACTCACTCTTCATTTTCCTGCTTCATGATTTACACTTTTTAACATGAATATTATTTTGTAGTACCAATATAAAATTTTACGAGAACTTATTAAATAACCGTCTCAGGGAAACACTTGGTTTTGACCAAGGAAATACAGCAACGAGATGTCTATTGAAGGTAATCCCTAATAATCGCTTTAGATGCAATACTAAGAAAAAGGCCCACGTGACCATTAAAATCAGCTGGGATGAAAAATTACAACACTATTATAACTTTTTCTTCCGTTTTCATTGCGATTTTCAAAGATACTCCATAGTAAAGGCAATCATAATTTACATAAGGTGGTATCATTCGAAACAGGTAAATGTATTTTTATAAAACTGTATTTAAAATTCCAACCAAAACACTGTCTTTTCACAGCGTATTTATTATATTAAATTGTATAGTCATTAGTTATGAATAATAGTTCAAAATGTTACTTATATAATTATACAGCACATACCTTTTTGAAGTGATTCAGAGTGTCCGGACTATTTTCACACATTTCCGTGATAAGGGTCACGCCCGTGATAAGAACACCTGTTAACAATAAGTCTTAATCACATATTTCTTAATACCATAGGCGAATTAATAATAAAAGTCCAGTATTAAAATAAATGGTAATGTTCTACGATATCGAGGCGACATTAGGAGACCAGGGCAAACTGTATCATTACTGTATCATAAATATAATAATTGTAATTAATGTTTTTTTTTCTTCTCTTCTTTATGGGTACATTTACATTTATCTTTAGAAACAAGTATATTATGTGTACAGAGGTCGATTATAAGTTCTGGTACGCCAGATTCACCATGTAAGTGTTAATTGCGCACATTAGCACACAGCCACGATTCAAACACAAGACCTCAGGCTCAATCATTTCTCGCTACTTGTCTAACGCAACATATAGGTACTTGTCATGTATATCTAATAAAAAAACGATATTGCTTTTATAGAACAAAATTCAACTGGTCCTCTACGGTCACAAAAGGGGACATATATGGGTATAATTCAATCACAGTGTCATGTTAATAGGCAATTGAGTTGATGATTATCAAATACGAGTCACTATTTCTTGTTGATCGAAATTGAACCAAATGTATAAGTGACACGGTCTGAATTACTTTGTTATCTCACTTATTGTCGACAGGTATCGGCCAATATCATCATAGGGGCCGTTCAAATATTACGTAAGCAGATTTACTGCAATTTAAGTCGGAAAGACACTAAAGTCGGAAACACACTTACGTGTCGTGGCGTCTCGTGACGCACCAAAAGCATATTTTAATATGGTTAGACAGAACGTGTTGCGATACGACACAACATGCAAATATGTTTCTAATCATATTAAATGTATGAAACCACGCCACGACACGTAAGTGTGTTTCCGACTTATCCCCCCTTATCCTCTTGTCAGAAAAAGTAAGAAAATAATATTAAATTTTAAATAATATAATATTTTTTTGTAGGAATCCTCGAATATGCATTTCATTTTCAAGCATAGATTATGTGCTATTCACGTAATCACCAAATAAGAAAATCAAAGGACCCCATTGGTGCTTACGTAGTACTTGAACGCGCCCATATACGTGTACGTTTCGCATGGCTTTGCGCATATCAAGCTTCGGATATAAACGATTGTTTAGCCACAAACGATTCTATTGTTTTAGTTTTTTATTAAAGTATATCTCAGTCAATAACCATACTTGTTAGCTTTTAATGTTTTTCAGATAAGCCTCCTGCCGGTTTGCCCTCTGTACTATAAAAAACAATTACGTCCATCGGCCATCTTATCATAAGTTTAAATGTTATTTAAATCTTGAGACGTTGCTGAATTCGGTTTATGACTTTTTAAGTTTGAGGCGCATATGGGCAACTTACCATGATTTTTCTCAGTTAGAAGACTTCTCGTAGCCGGCAAGAACATCTCCATCAAATCTGGTACTCTTCTTATAATCCTGAAGGCACATAAGGCCGCCTTCTTTTTGATGTAGGCGTTCGGGGACTTTATCAGACGTTCCACTTCCGATGCGAGGTCTCTCGCCATTTCTGGTGACGCGATAGCCCCGAGGGTACAGAGCGCTAGTCCCACAACAAACTGTGTGTTGCTGTTCAGGTCACTGTGGATAAGATATAATGCTTATTTATGATTTACTAAGACGGGCCCTACAACCCAAATACACCACTAAGGCTTTAGACAGGATTATTTAGCATTAAAGATTAATATAATTCCGGTAGCATAACGTAAGTTGCTCCAAAACAGAAGTGGCAATGGGCGGAAGTAGAGCATGCACAGATAAATAGACTAAAAAAGTATGGAAAGGACCAAGGGGAAGGAGGAGAGGGCATAGAAAGAAGAAGAAGGTGTATAGAAAAAAAAGCGTTCGCATGAATGGAGAAAGAAATTCCATGGAGAAAGCCATGGAAGGATAGAGAAACCCGTGAAGAAGTTTCGATCAATGGTACTGACGGAAGTTAGGATAAGAAGTAACAAGAAAAAAAATTAAACTGTATATTGTTAACATTTGTAAAGAAATAAACGGGCTTTATTATTAATAATATAATGGACTGATTAACGAGAAACACAAATCAAATTGTTGCACAGAAGCACAAATGTCGAAACATTACCTAATTAAAATAAATTAACTATAATTCCTTGGTATAAGAATTAATCTTGGGGTCGATACTAAGCCAAGAGAAGGATATTGTTCACTTCCTCAGACCTTAAGGGAGGATCCTTGACAAATCTAATCACTGACCGGTAGGGCCCCACTGGCTACGGCCTAAAGTTGTTATAAGTACTCAAACTCAAAATAACTTTATTCATATCGGTAAACAAGTGCACTTATGAACGACAACAGAATAGATGTTAAATTGATTTTGAATTTACATTTACTACCAGTTCGCAAGTCAAGGGCGTAGAGTTGGCAAGAAGAACTGACAAGAAACCCTTCGCCACTCTTTTGAATCGCCAAGTTTTGAACCATACAAATCGTTTGAAGTGGAGCAAATCAATCCCAAGGATTAGAATCATTTAAATATTCGTCTAATTTATAAAAAGCTTTATTGATTAATTTTAGTTTAACGAGAGTTGAATTTATTTAGTGATAATTCCCTAATTTCGCTTGAGTTTGTTGTAAAAAGGAATACATTTTCCAAAAAAGGAGTGGTTTATCTTCTGGAGCCTGGTTGGTAGTACGCTTAGATTAGTTCTCTTTCGAGTTTTATACTGGTTAATGTTACAATTTGTTTTAAAGTCGCTTATATTTTTTTGTACATACGAGGCTTCAAGAATATATTAGGCTTAGCAGAAACCGTTAGCACGATCAGGATATTACTTCATCATACTGTGTGTAGACGCAGATTATAGGTTTCGCTATACGACTTTTTTCGTAAGTATGCATTGCTATGCGCCTATCCGCATAGTTAAGCAAAACATTACTATTAAAAATTGGAAATGTAAATGTTTTATTATTATTATTTTTGGTAAAATTTATGTTTACCATATTTGTCATGTATTTAGAATAGATATTGATTGTAACATACTGTAGAAAATGCATTATGTATGATGTGCTGTACTTCAATAAATAAATAAAATAAGTGTTTAAGTAATAATAATAAATAATAAAAAGGACATAATTGGTATTACCAATTCAATAGACATAGGCCGAATCCCAGACTAACAAAAGTAATCGTTGCGCCAAAGGGCTTTGGCGTCTTGCGTGCTGCTGATTAGGTCAATGCGGTATAGGGTTCATTGACCGCAATCAATATTATTTACTTAAATGATAATATCAAAATTCAATTATATAGATATTGATATTTTCCACCTTACCAAACAGGATGTGAGGAAATATCGTAAGAAGCGGGAAGTCTGACTTTATTTAGCAGTTGTAACAATTTCGTTTTTTCTTTAAAATATTAATTTGTCGTTTGTTTAATGTTGAATTTCAGTTATCTTTTTTTAAATCTATTAAAGTGTACATTATGTTTTCTATTTCGTATATTTTATCTAAAGATGTGATTTGTTTTAGCTTTGTATATTGTCTATTCTATTCTGTAAGATTACTTATAAATAATCAATATACTATAGGTAACATGTGAAGTCATTATATACATATATGCTGTGTTTGTTTGACAATACATATCTTATGTTCCGATATGATATGGATCTATTGTCTTTCGTTTGCGCGATAATACATATTAAGAAATTCTATATAAACCCGATTATATATACACAACCGAGTGCCTAACAGTCACAACAGATAGCAATTCGATCCACAGCGTCTCTGTTCTGTTGTTCAACGATCTGTCGACCAATCACAGTCACGCGAAAGGCGCTATAGTTTCGTTTCCTGTTTTATCATTTTACCATATTGGTCACAACAACAACCAGTGGCGCTACAACCTCTCTTGAAAAGGTTTTTGTAGGCGATTCATGATAGTTTTTCTTAATAGGTGATCAGCCATCTTTGCCTCTACAGCCATATTTCCGTTTTCAAGTACAATCAACAATATATGTGTGTAATATGAGCTGGGGTCGAGTGCCGATTGCACTTAGAAGCCTTCTCCTATTACCTTCTAAGCCACAAGAGTATTACAACCATGCATAGTTAAAATTTAGATTACATACTAAACTTGAAATAAAAATTGAATAAATGGACAGTTTAATACACGAAAAAACACATATCTATAATATTTTTAATTCCTAATTAAATATCTTTGCGCGTATTTGTAATTAAACTCGACGGCTGGAGCGATATAGGCGATTTTTTTTGTATATTAAAGTGGATTCATGAATGGTTTAGATTTGCGTGTATTTGTTTTTTTTTTAGTTTGATATTTATTTTAAGTCGTATACAGGACAACGTCTGGCGGCTCCGCTACCTAATTATATATTTTTACATAGACAACTATTCGTTCGATCCACGGATATCATATATTATAAATGGATCTACAAGAAACAATAGTTTGTTACTTATTTGTATTAAAGATCGCCAAATCTACATAGTTATTTTTACAGTTTCATTTTTTTTTATTATCGATGAAATGTAATCAAAGAAAAAAAGAAAGTCCCACAAATAGTCAAATTTTAATGTTTAAATCGCATTATAAAACATATATCAAACTTATCTAAATCTGTTCACCAGTTTACGTATGAATACGCATCCTACTTTTAGCAGACTCTAACATACATATTTTCATATGTGCATTTAATAATACAGCAATTAGTATGTAAAACAAATGCAGGAAAAAGGTTTCCCTGGAGAGCAGGCCACTAGGAGTCAATGAGTAACAATGCAAAGGTCAGAAATCAAAGCCAAAGTGGAAACATTCCCTCGAGCCTTCAGCGTGGCGTTTAGTACTTGAGAGATTTAAAGTGGAAAAACAATACTTGGAATTTCAATTACATTTTTTAACAGGCTACTTCTAATTAATTTGCGATATTTGTTTTAAAATAATTGTTGTTTGATGATTTTCTATTTTAAAAGAGTACTGAGAGTTTTTTACGCCGGCCTTTTCTCTTGGCCTACACCCTCTGTCTTCTTTGCTGATGAGTAGGGATGCATACAGTTGCAAATTTTAATGACGTGGAATAAGTGATACCTTATGTTCCATAATAACCATATATTTTTTTTAAATAAATGATACACAAAAAGTAGGATTTCTTCTTGAGAAATCACTATCTAGAAATGAGTATTTTTTCATGGTTTTATAATTCAATTTCACTTCACCTGTCAACTTTACATCATCATTCAATTAACGTTTTTTTTTTCTAAAACCAAGTGATTTTCAATTAGAATGAGTACATTATTCCCAACTTTTTAATTGATACTTTCAACATAAATAACATAAATTTAGGTCACTTAGATTCTGTATAAAAACTATTCCAATCTTTATAAAACGACACCCGTTATTTACCGTATATTCTATCATAACAACATCTTAACACTAATTTTTTTATGATCTGTGACTATAACCGAAAATCATTGAAATGTCTGTCCTATGGGGGATTTGACGTGAAGCGGACAGTGAAACTATAAGTTTCACAGTGGGATGGTTACTAGTTAAGAAGGGCTTATGTTTAACTTACCACCAGGTATAGTAACATATAACAGACAAAAATAGTAAATGATTACCAAAATTAAACCCGCATTTTAATGTAAAATTACAACCTAAGTTTTAACATCTCGCTATCCTATTTAAGCAAAATGACTCCAAATAAATCATTGTTAACCCAAAAGTAGTAAATGATCGCCAAAATTAAAACAGCATTTTAATGTAAAATTATAACCAAAGTTTTTACATCTTGCTATCCTATTTAAGCAAACTGGCTCCAAAAAACTCATTGTTAGCCCAAAAATAGTTAATGAAAACCAAATTATTAACCATATTTTAATTTAAAATGAAATGCAAAAAAATAAAATCTCGTTATCCGATTAAAGTAAATTACCCTCGGCAAAAAAAATATTTTGCCAAACACAGTAAAGTAAATTTACTCCTAACCTTTTTGTCTCCAAATTGATTAACCACTACAAAAAAAAATTATCTTGAGCGTTTCGTTTACAACCAAATGCTATACCTAAAATAAAAAATAAAACTCTTACAATTTCAATAATCCCTTTTTTAATTATTGAAACAATCATTAAAAAGATAGTCCTCTTAAAACTAATAATAAACAGTTCAAAGATCTTAAAACTAAACTAATAATAAGCATTTAAAAAATCTTAAGAAGAATCAGTCTTCTGTATTAATTCACTGCACAATTAATGCTTTCTTAGCTTTGGCTGGTCGTCCTCTTTTGCGCTTCATGCCAATCGGAATAGCTCTGGCCTCTGAAGGTGGCTGGACGTGCTTAAGCCGAATCGCCAATCCAACGAGATGCTTGCAAATGTAATCTTTGAGAAACTTTGGGCAATTGCATGTGCCGTGTAACCAATTTTCCTTTTCTCGGGGCATTATAACTTCCCACTCTCTAAAATGTTGCTCTTTGTATTCGTCAAAGGTCTCCCATGGCTTTTCATAATTTTTGCAATCTAAATCCGACCCAGCTGGAATTCTGTATGAGCAAACTAGCTCAGTACTATTCTTTAATGGCACCTGCTTCGACAGTTTTGCCCATTGGTAACTTTCTGTCCACATCTTTAAAGATACTGTCGGCAGTTGAGCGAACCGTCTCTCAGTATTATTAATCACGTATTCATTAGACCAGTCCTTGACTATATCAGAAGCAATTACTAAGAACCGCGCCAAAGGATGACGCTCACGAAGCGTGCCACCATCTTTTATTGTTTTATTGAAAGATTCCAGAGCATTGTTTGTAGCAGGAGTCCCCAGAGATGCGCCCAAATACCAGAAACGATTTAGTATTAGCCATTCATTTTCAAAGTATGTAACAAAATCTTTTTCGGCTTTCCACTTGTCCAAAAATTTTTCGCTGGCTCGATCAAATATTTCCTGAGTTGAGGCACACTGTAAAGCATCAATATCTTGTAAGATCTCTTTTTGGGATTTCTTTTGCACACTTTGCTCTACTCTTGTTTGCATCTTCTTTTTCGCATGCGCCCAGCACATTCTTATGACTGTATCTGTTCCAAATGTGCACGCAAAGGCAGTTTGTATAGCCTTCGCTGCATCACAGACCAAAACTTTACAACTTAAAGTGTATGAAAATATTGAGAAAACTGCTTTTTTAATGCGGAAAATAAAAATATGAAGTCTTCCGTTCGTTCAGCTGTTGTCACAGCTAATCCAAATGGGTGAAAATGTTTATCTCTGTCTGTAGTTCCAATCACAAGTACTGGAAACCCTTGCCAAATGAGCTTATATGTGGCATCCGCGTGAAGAACAGAACATTGGCGTGATAGACCAATTAAATATTTCGTCGTTAACATGAACCGGAAGTTCTGATCTAAATCATCTTCAGAAATTTCATACGCCAAAACAAAAACTTCGTGACCGTCATCAGGTATTTCAGAGTTTTCTTTTAACCATAATTCAAGCTGTCCCAAGCTTATTACCGATGGCCCGTATTTTTTCTTACGTATGATTTTAAGATAATTGTTTAACTGTAACTTAGTCGGCAGAACTAGTCCATTAATTTTACTTAAGTTCTTCATAATAGATTTAGGTTTCAAACGCAGTTCGAATAGTTTTTCTATTTCCTTTTTCGTTGCCTCATTTATTCCCCTAGTCGACTGACAGTCAGAATTTTCATGGTCGTGACATGTTTCAGTACGAAATAATAATATATCATCACACGATGCGTCAAATAAAAGATAAATCGCGGCAGAACACTGAATTTCAGCCCGAAGCTTCACTTTGTTACAACGATAGTAACGTTTTACTCCTTCTTCAGTCGTATGAATTTTTTGTATTGACCAGGTCTTCTCATTTTTGATAAATTCCTCAGCGCTCCGCACAGTTATAAATTTTCTTTCAAAAACCCAAACTTTATTTTGCCTTCGACGTTTTTTTCGTATGCTCTGTGATTTTATATTCGTCTTCATCTGATTCCGATGAAGTACTCAACAGCGGAGCACACGAACTCGGTCCCGCTAAGTTTTCATTCGCCATTGCAAAGAAGATAGATACCAAAACACACCCAATAAAAGCAAGTGCTCGCACGCGACTAAATTGGCGATCGTGTCCGGGCGTGCGCGGCGCTTGCGGTGTGGTGGGAGAGGATCGTAAGCCGCAGACATAACTTAATATGGCATCATAATGCTTCATTTGGTAATAAGCCTACATTTTATGTCAATCATAGTGGTTTATTTAGGCAGAAATAGCGCATTAATTTGCTCGCTAAGATTTGGTGATCATTTACTACATTTGGTGTTCGAATACAATTTGAAGTGCAGTCGTGACTAAAATAGCTAGTACTATTGTAATTTTAGACGTTATTTATCTGGTGTTAAGTATATATTTTTGGTAAAAGAACTAAGGGTATCAAAGCATTTTATGGTGATCATTATATTTAACCCCGTTAAGAAGATAGGTTAATTAATGTTCATGCTTGTCGCACTGTGATGGATTGACGATGTGTGAAACATTACTTTCTTGTTTAGGGCAGAACAATGCTGTAATATTTACATCATTACGAAATATTGTAGCATATTCAGAACGATTTTTTTTTTAATTTTTTTCTATTTTACTAGAATAATCTATCCTAAAACTAGTTCTTTTTATAAGGCGTTCGGTTGTTGGAATAAAGGCATATATTTTGTCGAGACGTTTGTTCGCGCTATGGGCGAGATTAAAAAACAAGACAAAACTCTCTCAAGTCTCGTTTCTGAAATTCTCGACTCTGAACCCTTGGCGGTGCCTAGAGATGTGGGGTCTCTCTGCATCTTCTACCGGATTTACCAAGGTTAGTTAGTGTTCAGATGAGTTGTTCGGATTAATACCTTCAGCTGAGTTTCATCATTGGATGTCGAGGCAGAATACGAAATACCATCCGTATCACTTCGACATTCGTGAAGCGTTATTATGCCGCGCACCACCGCTATTTGTAACTTGCTGCCCACTGATGTATTTCCGAACAAATACGACTTAGGGTCCTTCATGTAAAGAGCGTACCAATTCTTAAAATGCCGGCAACGTACTTGCGAGCCTTCTGTCAATATAAAATGCCTTTACATCCTGTCCGTTTGCCTCCTCATATTAAAAAAGTACCCCTTCTTCGTATAGTATATTATTTCTCTTACCTAAGAATCAATAAACAATTTACTTCGTAACTTCAATCCTATTTGAAAGCGAGGAAATATGAATATAAATTGATCTTACGCGAATATTTTTCCAATAATAGAATTTCAAATAACCTGAGAGAGATATTTAATAAAAACCTTCGGGAGTTCTATAGTATTACATTTTAACGTGAGGGAAATCGTATAAAATCGAAAATTTAATTTCTTAAAATAATTCTCTTTAAGTACGAAGTTTTGTAACCTCCCAGTAATGGATGGGGCAAACATATTATAGCGTTTAATTTACTTTTATTCAGGCATTTAGACTCGGTCCCCTCACGATGTTTTCATTTAATTTATTTGCTTGAGCACACAAAATTATTTTATGTTCTAATATAATTGATGCGTATGTGTGAAAATTTGTGGTGTCATATTTTTTTGTAGAATTTTATGCATACACGCTGTTTTAGAACATTAAAAGGGAAGTCCCTTTTAGCACCTGTTGGCTATAGTATTCGCTTTAGTGTTAAGTAACACAGACAGAGAAACGAATTTTAATTATAAAAATGTTGTACGGTTCCTGGGTCATCGGGGTGCTTTAAATAATAGAGGATTTTATTTTTACTCTATATTCAAGTATTACGTAACGAATTTGGGGGGTCCTTTTGTAAAACGTTACGATGCGGGGCGGGGATTGAATAACGCGTTATTGTAAAAATTATTACCGACTTTCCAGTACTTTACACCACATAATGGTAACTTTTAGGTATAAAGAGTCACTAGGTGGTCACGAAACGTTTTATTATATTTGGTTACAGTAATACTTGAACGCTCCCTTAACCACTCGCGTACAACAATAGAATATAAGCGAAATAATGAAATGTTAATAGCTATGTAACAGTTGCAGGAAGTGCCTACGTCTGGCTATACTCTCGGGGCGTAACTCCGACGATTTAGGTAATCGCCACGCTTATAAAACTAAGAAAGCCTGAGTGAGCAAAATGTTACAGCCTTGGCTCGTACAAATATTATTTAGTTATTCGTGTAACTACAAACAGGGATTTTTTTCCTTTAAAATATGAGAGTAAAATAACTATGGCTTTAATGTATTTCAATTGTGTCTTGTTTTAGCCGCAAACCAAACTACTCATCAGATAACGGATCTTATATATGACGGTAATATTTAAGCATGAAGACATAATTAACGTTGGTAACTTGATAACAAAATTATAATTTGTAATTTAATCATTATTTCGTAGAAGTCGACACATTAAAAAATCTAGTTTTATTAACGTCATAAAACAAACTAAAATAATCAGCTACGTCATGTTTATCTTCATATTACTGATTAACCGAGCGATAATATCATAGGATCGGGGTCACAAGATTTTTTCAATGTGAAATTCTCCGTAAAAATTATCCGAAATCTCTTTCATCCTTTAAATAAGAATTATTAATATTTGGATTACGTTTGCTTGATATAGATAGTTTTCGCGATAGAAACACGTGCGAGTTTTTATGCTTTCACAGTTCCGATATTATTAATATCAATGACCTTGGGAATTATTATATACATTTAAATACATAGAATTGTTCTTCGACGTTGAGTAATGCATCAAAAAATTTCGATAGCCGTTTTATCTTTATTGTAGAAAACAAATTTACTTGCCAAACTTTTTTGGAGGTAATTTTGTTTAGGTGGATTTTAAGGTAGTACCTTTTATTGGATTTTCTTTAAAAACGCAGGCTTCTATATATTTTATATTAAGCCTAAAACCCAACCAACAATCTAAACCACGTATAAACACCATGCGTGGCTAAAATGAAATATCGAAAAGCAAAAAAATACAATACTCCAAGAACGAAATAGTTTACTACTTGAATATATTTTTGATGCATAATTGAAACTACATCTCAAACCTAGTGTACAACAAAAACCTTAGGGGGTTTTTGAAGTTGGTTCTAGGGGCAACATTCTGTAGTTGTCAATGTTGTCATCACTGTCACTGTCAAATTCCATTACATTTTTGACATACGTCATACGCTTTTGTCTTCCTTTTTCCACGCGATTAAAAGCGAGCAATAGTTACTAATATAAATATAGAATATACAAAGCTAGTAAATATCATTAATCTAATATAATTTTAATACTCACTTTTTCAAGCAATTAGTAATGAGCAAGTGTACATCTTGCCGTTCATCCAATAACAGCATCGCACCCAAATATCCAACCCTCTTGTCCGTGAAGCGAGGGCTGGCTATCAGTTTGAGGCACTCCAGTTGACCAAAATGCGCTGGATAACCCAGCATATGGATGTATAGGAGCTTCGCTATGTTGCGACATCTGCTGGATATACATGTCTCTATAGGGCTTTGGAAATCTTTGATTTTCTTGAATATTTATTTATGAATTCATCTCACAACCACAAAGGTTAAAAACTCCCTTGTTTTATAACAAAATCAATTTAATAACACCGTTTTATCAAAAGTTTCTCTCCGTTTTCAGAAAGAGAGAGAGAGAAAATATCATGCCTGTATTCATTTTTAGACTGATGCTAAATATATCATATATTCAGAATCTAGTTGCTTACTTTGATAAAATTAAGGCTTTATTTATTCAATTTGTTTGTGGCCGAGAATTTTATACATTAGAGATTATATCTAATATTAGGTCCTTACATATGAAATTGGCGTTTTGTATGGGAGGAACAAAAAGTCGAATATTTTTAAACATAATATATTTAATTAATCAATGTATGAACCATTGTTTTCTATGCACTTTTGCCATCTCATAGGTAGTTCATTGATCCCTTTACTAAAAAAACCAGTCGGACGGGAATCAATAAAATCTGTGAAGGCGATTTGGACTGCCCCATCAGAGTTAAATTTTTTCCCTTGCAAGAAGTTGTCCAAATTTCGAAAAAATAGTAATCTGTTGGAGCAAGGTCCGGGGAGTACGGAGGATGTCTTAGACATTCCAATTTAAGCTTTTCTAATTTGGTAGCCGTCTGTTGTGCAGTGTGTGGTCTAGCGTTGTCGTGAAGTAGCAGAGGCGTGGAGCGATTGACCAGCCTAGGTTGTTTAGCCGCTAGCTTTTCCATCATGGTTTGCAATTGCCGACAATAGACATCAGCCGTAATAGTCTGGCTAGATTTGAGAAAACTGCAATAAACAATACCGGCACTAGTCCACCAAACGCTTACAAGTAACTTTTTTTGGGTTAATTTTCGCTTGGGGCAGGATTTGGCTGGCTGGCCAGGATCCAACCATTGCGCTGAGCGCTTTCGATTGTCGTAAAGAATCCATTTTTCATCACAGGTAATGATTCGGTTTATAATACCTTCATTATTGTGCCGGTTCAGTAATGTAACGCAGCAGTCGACGCGCGTTTGCCGGTTTCCTTCAGTCAATTCGTGAGATACCCATCTTTCAAGCTTTTTAATCTTCCCAATTTACTTCAAGTGAATTAAAACAGTTTTATCACTAACACCGCAGCCTGCAGCTAACTCGGACGTGGTTTGCGATGGATCCGCTTCCACAATAGCCTTCAATACTTCATTATCAACTTGGGTCTCAGGCCGTCCACGGGGCTTGTTCTGCAGGTCGAAATTTCCAGAACGAAAACGTTGGAACCAAAAACGAACTGTGTTTTCTTTTGCAACATGACCGCCATACACATCATTCACCCTTCGAGTCGTTTCCGCAGCACTAATGCCACGGCGGAACTCGTACTCGTAAATAATGCGATACTTTAAGTTTTCCATTTTGTAACGCAAACAGAAAAAAACAAATGAATGACGGTCATCGAAGCACAAATACATGAGTAAATAGCTGTACAAATTTGAATTTGGAATTTCTTATCAAAGAGGGGAACATCGTGAATAAAGTGGCCAGTACGAAATACGCCAATTTCATATGTAAGGACCTAATATATAAAATTCTCGTGTCACGTTGTTTGTCATTTAACTCCTCCGAAATGGCTTGACCTATTTTCATCCCCCTAAATGTTAAGGGTGATCCACCCCTAAATTTCTATTTTAATTTTTTAGACAATTTTTTTATGATACAGCATACAAAAATACTTACAACCCTTTATTTTCACCCCCTACGATCAACCTTACTTTTTATTATAGTAGATATTTAGTTATTTTTATTGAACTAAATGTTTCCTAGAATAAATATACATACATAGCAAAACAATATTTGCCGGGTAAGCTAGTTAATATTACATACCTATAATCTTTTCCTAAAGGCAAAAATGTATACTAGAGTATCAAACTAAATATCAACAACCATAAGATAGTACACAAGTCTACAATACCTCCACACACTGTCTTCTTCTCTAAACGTGGATCGAATATATGCACACTCCTTATTCACAACACTTCTTTCTTCCGCAGCCGTTCTGGCCGCACGAATTTGACGAATCAGATCCCTAAGACGTGTGGGAGTCTGCATCCGTACTGAAACCGGCGCGACTGTTAAACGACACACACACAAAAAGCAATCATCAGTGCATTTGTTAAAGGAAATCATAAGTGTCGAAACTTAAAAGGCTTGTGCAATGTGCAAAACTGTGGTAACAAAGAAAAAGTTCAGCTCATCTCATGATAGAAGTTGTACATAGTCCGACAGATATTATACATTAAAATTGTAAGTCTAAGTTTTGGTATAATAGATGTCAGAAACATGTTTAAACTTCACATAAAGGCAGTAAATAATTAAGTGTAAGGCCCAGTCTAAATATACTAAGCTTAAAATCAGTCCTAAATACCAAATCCTTTAAAGTATAAAGTCAAATATACAGGCGTAATATAGTACACAAATAAAATAGACTATAGTCAAAATAAATTTAATACAAAGCTATGCCTTTAAATTTCGACATATCAATTAATATTAGAAGCTTTAGTGTCAGCTAAAGATTACCCCATTAGTTAAAAGACAATAATATAGCATAGAATAGCTGTTACCAAAGTTAAGCTTAAAACCTACAGCCAATTTCAATAGAATGAAAGAGAAAGAGATTCCAGTCCAGTTTATTTTAGCAGCAAACAATTAGCAGGATGATTGCGAGTTTTAATTACTGGGGGGTTAACTGTGGGCTTTATACTGTATAATGGATTTATTATAAGGGTATGATTGCTTCGCCTCATTCAGAGATAACTGGATTCGCTACAGTTATGTTGGTTGTAGTCATTTTATATTAATTTACACAAATTTTTAGGCTATTGAATTTGGCTGCAAATATAATAAATATAAAATAGCAAAACTTAAATATGTTACATAATTTAAACTAATCTAAAGAGTAGTTAAAAATTATTTTAAAATTACCTGGTTATATTTTATTTATGGTAATTAATAAAGAATACTCACCTCTCTCTATTGCTTCATTTACAACTTGTTTTATTGTGGCTATGTTAAATGCCGGGTTGAACCTGAATAAAAGATAACTAGATTTTATACAACATATATGAACCCATTAATACACTTTTATGATGTAAAGAATGTAAAACTATTCTTTTTAGTTCAAAGTCAGCTTAACAACAATCACTTTACCAACTTATTAAAAACTTTTCTTTATACAAGGGAGTTTTATCAAAACCCAAAACATACAATATTTTACTATAAAATATGAGGTTTATTGGTTTTGCACAAAATATCATTATCAGAATAAACTTCACTCCTGCACATATTCAGTTTCATGGTTAGTTATTGTATTACTGTTAACCTTGTAATGATTTGACCACAAGATATCATTGAAGAGAATATCTGATTTCATTAAAGAACTAAGAATAAGTGAATTAATATTCAGTAAGTTTACTAATATTATACTACTATAGTTAAACAACTACATATTTTTAAAGAGAATTCTGAAACAAAATGGGGAATAATCTATTTACATAAAAGATTAACTGGTTTCCTAGACATTAATAATATATAATATGTAGACCATACATAGATCTACGTAACTAGTAGTAATTTTTCAATGCAGGTAAGTTTAACTTGATAACTACTTCCAAATAACAACAGTTATTATACATGATTGAATTTGTGACATAAAATTGTATTATTATCTATGCAATGCTCACTATAGTTGGATTAAAACCTTGAACAAAGTTAAAATGAATACATCTGTTATAAAATATATTTACCCGGATTCCGATCCGTTCATGATCGCTGTTTTATTGAGAATTCTTAGCTATATAATCACTAATCCTTTAAATGGTCTGATGGTACAAATGAACTTAAAATCCCCAGGTGACAGGTGCAATCAAGGTATGGGGTCAACAATATAACACACTTGCGTTTATTATTTACACTTGATAACACTTAAACAATAACAACATGAAAATAAAGAATAATTAAGACAGTTCAGTCAGAGTTTTTATCATTTTATCTCGTCACAAACCATACAATTGCAAGTGAAATCGCAGGCCACTTTTGAGAATATTTCATATTTTCACTTTATGTTAATTTTCCATTGTGGTCTTTTATATTGCTGATTTAAATAATATATCACAGAAAACTCTTCGAGTAAATCGTTTATCACAGATTTTACAATGAATAATTACGGCAACCGCCAGCTGACATTTCCTGCGTTGCAAGAAATTCAACATGGCCGATATGTCATGACTTGACTCGGCTTTTCATTTATTCATTCAATAGATGACGTTAGTAGTATTATGAAAATACTTTAAAAAATAGTGAAAACGTAACAAAATATACTAAATTTTAATCAAAGCAGTATTATCTTTAAAATTATGTTACAGATGGAAGAAAGAAATTGTATATTTTCTATTTGTAAGCGATTTTTTGTAATGGTAATGTACATTCTACGTGTAACATAGTACATTCGCGTGTATTAGAGTGGCAACAGTGGCAACTCAATCCATTGCTTTATTCGTATTAAATATTTGAATGAAGCGCCTAACTTACGTGGACAAACAGTAAAAGCATTTAAAAATGATATTTTAAAAAATAAATTAATATAAAATATTTTGTATATCATTTGAATTTTAAATAACATTGCAATAGTTATAGTAATGTTGTAATAGCAAGGCAAAAATACATAACTAACAGACAATTCCAAAAACAACGAGAAATCAAACAATACTTGGTACCTTCTGTTTTGATCTGGTGGTAGCACACTCCAATCCACTTCGTACATGGGATAAGCCATATTGTCTTATTATCGCACAAATACACAATCACAAAAACATTTCACAAGAATGTTCACATTTACACGACAGTGCAAACCGTACTGTTATCAGAGGTGTTTTATCAGGTGCAGGTACTCCTCAAATATCCAGTAATTACGTATCTCTTATCAAAAACATTTATCACTGAAAAGGGATAGCAATAGACACAACATGTTTAATGTTTTATTTTCGAATATCAATACTGTACAAAACAATGGGCGCGTCACATCATTATCTTAATAGGAAAGCTAATTATTATTCATTGCGATCGTATAATGTAACCGAATCACTATAGGTTGTCTTCGTGGTTTCGCGGCGGTCGATCTACGTTGTTCCTCTTTATACAATCGACGAGCCATCTAATGCCCTCGTCCACACCGTCACTAGAAAGAATAAGTGCACTTAGAGACATGTATGCGTAATGTTTACATATGAATACGGACTTTTATAGTTAAAGCAAGGTTGAACAATACTATAATAAATTAAATACATTTTAATGATGGCGTGGTTAAGCCTTCATGCAAATGAATATGAAGGTTATTTAAACACCAAACTAGATAAGTGACGACTTAGCTATTAGTGTAACTAATCAGTTTATTGCACGTAGTCTTATAAGATCACAAATTAAAAAAATACAATTGTCGTTGTTTGCAGTGACACTTTAAAGAGGCACAATCAATTCTGGCACTGGAGGGTCACCTGATGTAAAAGTGATCGCCGCCCATGGACACTCACATTGCCAGAAGGCTCGTAAGTGAGTTGCCGGCCTTTTAGGAATTGGTACTTTTCTGGAAGGTAAATAAAACTTTATGTAGTAATTATCGTCAGTTCTTATAATTAAATATGTGTGTTTATTATAATTTAACTGAGTTTCATGAATTTGGTTTATAGATGCGATATTTTAAGTGGGTTTAGGAAATTAGCAGTTTTTATCATTATCTTGCGTAGAAAATGCCGCGGTCTCAGGATAGTCACACACAGTTGAATTAAAAAAAGTATATTACTAAGTATCTGTAGAACCAGCGTGTCTGTAAAATTCAAATTATGTTAATTGTTTAAAAAAATTTTACCCTTAAAAAAAATATTATTGTTTTTGTTAAATGTATTTGAAAGTTGAAACGTTGTTATGTTAATAATTCTAAAGGGATTCTCTCTCTGCTTTCGTCGATGAGCAACATTTTGGAACAAAAAAGTTATCCGCATTTTTACAAATTTATATTAGCTTACCACTGTACATATTAAATAACATTGTCACCTGAAGGGGTGAGAAAATAAATAAATTTATTTATTAATTTTTCAGTCACGGGCACTAATTTCTACGTGAAAATCATTATCATTACGATGTATTTCATCGTAAAGAAAATTGTGCAATAATCCAACAAAGTACCACTTTTTTATGAATTGTTACACTTAATATAGTTTAATGTTTTTAAATTATTTATTACCAAACACCAAGGCCATTCACGCAAATCAACAACAATGCAGTGCTTAGTCATTATTGGTACTTAACAAAATATAAGTGCAACATTATAAATAATTCATAGCGAGTTATCCTCGGAGACTTGATACAAATGAGCATCACAAGTCTCCGCAAACATACGCTCATAAGATAATTTTTAAATCTTAATATATATATTTCTTCTGTGCGTGTGTATGTGACTGAACTCCTCTCAAACGACTGGACCGATTTTGATGAAATTTTTTGTGTGTGTTCAAGGGGATCTGGGAATGGTTTAGATTCACAAATCAGCCCGGCAGATGGCACTGCAGTCGGTACTTTCATACTTTGCTTAATATCCTAATCGCTTTAAATATCATGCAGGACAACGTCTGTGGGGTCCACTAGTAAAATATATTTCACACGAAATTTATAAACGAATGGAAGGGAGGGCCTCGTCAGTGGCATGAGGCGTGCTGCGTAATAAAACAATAATATTCTAATGATTTGAACATGTTGTATAAAGAGGTGAAAATAAAAGCGGCGATACTGATTCTAGTAGAAAATTCAACGCAATTATTAGTTATTGATCTAGTCTAGACTTTTAGTATTAGCGCCATCTAGCGCTAGCTTTAACAACATCACACACAATTATCGTGGTGGATACTTAAGCTAAATCATTATTCTTAATAATTAAATGTAAAGAATAATGTGTGTTATCAGACCAAATGTTTAATAATAATATATAATAAGTACTTTTACCTTTATTAAAAATTTGCCTGTACCATAATTTTATTTTAATTATGTTCTATAACTAGCTTAACTTTAACTAAAACAATATACATTATCCATTGAATAATAATAATAAACCTAAAATTATTTATTAATAAAATTTACGTTCAATTTATTGTTGGAGTAGGATTTTTTTTTTACTGTAAATATAAAAGAATATAACTGTTAGAAGCTTTTATGTTGATAAAGAAAGCATGTCAGTTTTCTATTATATTTGCAGCACTATGTTTGTGTGATTTCTATACTCTATGAAAACTGAAGCAAGACTTATAAAATATCTTTATATGTCATAGTAGTAAAAAAGTTAAGGGATTGCTGGAAATATTAAACTCACTTTAGAATTTATGTACTATCAATAGCAAATAGGCAAAGAAGAGTTTTGTTTGATATAAAATGCTAGATCGATTTTGAAGTTGATCCGTTCAAAATCAAACTATCATTTTGTATCATTCAACTCACTTTTGTGTAGTTTTATAATTGAAAATTTAGATAGTAAAAGAATATTTATATAACTATAACATGCACATGCTCTACTCAGGATTGAAGTAGTCCTTATACCAACCAAAATATATAAAAACTAAAGGTGCGCTTACACGGGCAACTAAAATTGCTCAATTCCAGTCAATACTCGTCAACTATGACGTCACGACTACATCAAGCAATTTACGGCAACGGCAACAAGCATCAATACTGCGCAATACAATATTGAGCGATATGGCGCAACTTCATCAACTAGGCAATACTGTCCAACACGAGCATTTCAGTATTCGCTCGCTATGGACGACATTGTTCTTGCTGCGGCGGCTTGTAGCGCTTTTTTTAATATTAATCAAAAACAAAAAAGAAAGAAAAGGAATAGGCGTATCTGGGTCCGATCGTTTTTGGCAAAGAGGCCGCAATTTTCATTGTGTAAAGAATAAGATGATATATTATTCAAAAACAAATTATGATATTTAATTATATTATTTATTTTTTTATTATTTTTTATTTTATTTTATGATATTTTATTATTATTATTATTCTAGAATGTCACGAACAGACTTTGAATTACTTTTGAATAAAGTAATTAGAAATTATTATTATTTAGACCTCTCGCTTTCCCCGCGGAAGCAAGACGGCAAGCCGCAAAACAAATAAGTGCGAATGAGATATATACAAAAATTGCTAGGAATTTCCAAGTCCATTGGATATTTGTCAATTCGTATCTGCGACATTGAGCGATATGAAATATCTGGAGCAATTAGAGGCAATATCGCCGAAATAATTTATTGAAATTGCTCCATTCGTGTCGCCGAGCAATTATTGCCCTCGTGTAAGCGCCTTAAAAGTAACAAGTAAGAAACAAACATTCAAAGGTACATTGATAACATGCAATTAAATAAAACTAATTACCCAGTCAATGCTGATGTAGCCATAAGCATAATGTCTCTTGCTCCAATGAGATGAGCGTTTTGGTTAAATATAGGTTTCACTGTGTGAACACCCATACAGTCTGGAATATCTTGTTTATTAGCTAGCACCAACAGTGGCACACCAGTTAAATGTTCTGATGCTATCATTCTATCTGTAAATATTTAAATCTTAGTTACACTAATATTATAGAGCTATGTTGTTTTTTTTATTGAACTCACATATCTCGGAACTATAAGACTGATTCTAGACATTATTCAAGTAAAATGGTGTGTTGCAGCTAGTCACTTACCAAATGTTTCTTTTGACTCAGATACTCGCTCTCGATCAGATGAATCAACAATGTATATAACAGAATGACATTCAGCATAATACTGCAAAATATGGCAATATGAATATTATATGTGTGATGGCAAAAATAAATGTTTCTATAATAGCAATTAGAATTACAAAGAAAAGAAACACACTTGTGCTCTGAATACAGTAACTAAGATTTAATAACCCACTAGTTGAAAGCAATATCCAAGGAGCAATTACTTTGTTTCTATTAGAATTACTTTGTAGCTACGAATTACTTGAATATAAATTTTCTCAAAATAACATGAAATATTTTCACATACTTTGTCCCACAAGGATTGTAGTTCCTGTTGTCCACCTAGATCCCAAAAGTTAAGTCTTATTCCATCCACATCTATCTTTCCTATATTAAGGCCAACAGTTGTAGTTATCCTATTAGGGTTCATACCTATATATTTTTTAGTAAATTTAGTTTTAGCGGCCTCCAAATATGTCTGTAAGGTTCAGAGAAATTTAACATAACAGTAAAGAAAGTGCCAAGTGGTGAACGAATTCTATGCAAATAAAATGTGTTTAATTTACCGTTTTCCCTGCATTATCGAGACCTAATATTAACACACAATACTCGTCTTTTTGAACAACATATTTATAAAACCCATGTAGTAGTGTGTACATTTTGTTTCATGTTTTTATTATATACAGTATAAAAGAAAAATAAAAGTAATTGAAATAAAATCAAAACAAGCTGAGTTTAGTATTTACAACAGCTGACAGCAGTTCTCAGTTGTCAACTTGTCAAACGTGTTGTACGTGTTAAATTGTGTGAATAAAGCCAATAATCTGTGATCATCCACCACCACAAACCACTTGGTCTGTGCTACAGAAAACGGACCGTTATAATAATTGATTGAAGTTGCAATGATTATTATATCATATATATCGGGTATTCATATAAGAATAAACATATTCATTATAAAATAAATAATCTTAAAGAAACGCCTTATAGTAAATAACAAAGTAGCCATTGACAAAAATCGTTTCGGTTAAAAAATAAAATATTGGACTAATTTGACTTTTTTTGATGTCAATAAAGATATCAAATATACACATTGTAAACATATATTAAATAGAGTAATAAAGTAATGCCGACTAAAAGTATAAAATCTTTGACTGATAGATCTAGCATTTTGGGTGAATATGAGAGTATTTACCTCACTCCAAGGGAAGCCAATGTCTCATTAACACTACAGGGTGAGAAACCTGGCCCTGGAGAGTGGATATTTCTCGTTTTGTTTGACGGCCAGATTTTATTTGAAACTAAGTGGAGCAATGAAGTAGTTCAGTTTATGCAATCACTTCCTTTAGATTTGAAGAAGAATTCTGACCAAAGTATATTAATCGATAGACCACTTACGTTCCTGTTGCGCCTTGCTGGCGGGAAGGCTACGAAAGATCCCGATCCTTTTCTTCACGTTGATAATCGTGTAGGGGGAAATGTTGATCTTTTTCCATTATTGCTAGGAGAGGAGAAAATAGTTGTTAACACACCGCTATATGTTTTAACCACCGGGGAAGTTACTACCAGTTCAGTCATTGTCCATGCAGAGACCAATGGAGTTGTTGAAAACAGCAGAGTTCCAATTATAATTACTATGCTTTCTGCCCACTGTCTTCCAGTTGTCAGAGAAGGAACAGTATATATGAGCGCTGTTGGATTAAATGAAATACACAACCCTATGCCCATTAATTTTGGTATGTCCATGAGTACTGCATCAGCAACGAAAGTAGTTTGGTCTTCAATAATTAATGCTGCATATGGTGCAAACACGCTTTATAATATTCCAGAAGAAGATAAGTTTATATCTGATTGTGAACCAAACGATACCGATGAATGTATTTCTGTTTATTGGAATGCGATGAAACGAGTTCTTGTAGATCCTATTGCTTTTCGTGAGCGAATAGAAAATGGTCCATTTATGGTAGAACTGGCAGGTGTTCCAAAACAAGGCAAGATTGATGTCAGAGGACGTTATATGTCTTTTATAGATTTAGGGGTACTGTTGCAACCGGGCCAATATGGAGTAACAACTTGTGGAAAGTTATTATATTTTAATGAATCTGATTTACCCGAACGAATGAGGCCATTGTTGGAGTTACCGCCTACTAGTGCTAAAATCAGTGTTCGAGAATCTGACGTCGTTACAGATGAACTTAACCACGTCGCTTATGTAGCTATAAGGTTTGATTTATTTGAACCCCTTGTTCCTAAATCCAAAATAGCTGCACTCTATGAAAAATTAGGCTTTCCTTGTCCGGAGATCCCCGCTGGCCCAGTTGAAGAGTTACGTGCAGAACCAACTCCAGAAGACCCAGTTATAGATGTTCGGAAAATTAGGAAGGAAGGAGGCGCTTTAGCAGTACATAAAGAACTATGCGGCTTGTCTTGCATGGGAAATATGGCTATGAATCAAAGCATAAAACGCACGGCAGCTAACCGTCTATTGTATCGCGTGCGATCGATGCTTAAGCAGTTTCCGCCGGGAGAATGTTCACAAACTTATTTGCAAGATACTATTACTGCGCAACATCTGGCTTGCCGACGTGCCGTCACTGCATCATTTGCTCCACAGCCCCCTCTTCCTCGGTCAACTTCTCGTGTTGCAGCTGCTAGGAGCCGAATAGGTGGTGACGGAAGGATTATGAATCACCATATCGAACAAAATTTAAGAGCTCTTCCCAAACACCCGAGGCCTTTGTTTTGTAAAGCTTTGCGATATCTAGAAAATCACAACGAAAATGATGCTCGTGATTGTATCTTGAAAGCATTGAGTTTTCAGCCCAGAAATAGATTTCTACTTTGGACTTTGGGTGCGATTAATTACGACAAAACAGGTGATTCTTATGACGAAGCACACGCAGCGCTGCGTATCGCAGTAAAAGGTGATATAACGGATGGTGTGACTAATGCTATCGCATGGGCATCATTGCATTCGTTCTATCATTTCCACGAAAACGCCTACGCAGCTTTTATTGCCGCTAAGAAAATGCGCAAGGCGTATGAGTTACCCCGTGAATGGAAACGATTTTTGCAGAGGTGGGTCGAAACTAGCGGCGAAGAAGAGTCATTTTGGATTCCTTCTCTGATTGATATAAGTAATCCTTTGCTTATAGCGTCAGCTTTCTTTCTCTGTCTTAGATGTTTTCGCTTTAGCGACCTGTTGATGCAATGTTTTTTAAAAGGTTGCGCTACCAGGGGGTCACGTTTGAATCTTAAAACTGTAATCACCGAGGATTATTATTATGTACAAGCGGCCTATTTACTCTTGCAAAAACAAGTTGATAAAGCTATACAACTCACAGAGAAGGCGATAAAAAAGTTTGGTCCATCTTGCATTTTATCGCAAATGCGGCTTACATGTTTGGTGTTTGCTCGAGGTTGGGACGGAGAGTGCGAGAAAAGTTTATCTGAAGCAGATAAAGCTGGCTCAAAACTACCACCTTCGATGCTGTTGCGGGCTGCATTAGGTGGCATTAAATCTAATCCACAAGGAGCATTGCAGCGAGCAGCGCGTGCGCATAAGTTAGCTCCATCGGCGTATTCTGCTTTAATTTTAAGTCGCGTTTATATGAAAATTGGCATGGAAAGTCTAGCTGAACGTTGGGCTGCTGCAGCTGTCAATACAGAGCCATTGCTTGCTGATGGATGGGCGGTTTTAGCATTATTGGCTATGGGGGAAAGGAACTTAGATAAGGCTAGGAATATGATTCGTACTGCCAAGCAAGCTGGCCCAGTTAGTGCTGATGTGAAGGAAGACGTGAGGAAAGCCATGAAAGTCGTACGTTTGGAGGGGTTACCTGAACTATTGGTGAAAGAGATATGCTTTTGTGACTATTATTAATTTAAATTTTATTCATTTCGCATAATATATTTTATATTTGTATATTGGAGGTAAACAAAGGTGCATGGAATGTTATCGTTCTGTTTATGCCTTATTTATTCTAGGTAAAATTTGATCATAAGAATTTGATCAAACAGAACGCCACTTAGTTTTGTCACAATAAGTTCTGCCCTGCGATTCTGTAACTCACTTTTCGAACTCACACAGCGGTTTTCGCATCGGCGGTCGCTCTCAAATCAGTCGTGAAGCAGTCATTTTATGATTTGGCATTCTGATAAATAATAAACTACAAGCTCCCACCTTTTCAGAATGCCAAATCATAAAATGACTGCTTCACGACTGATTTGAGAGCGACCGCCGATGCGAAAACCGCTGTGTGAGTTCGAAAAGTGAGTTACAGAATCGCAGGGCTGTCATGAAAGAAATATTATATTATTGAGGACGTTATGAGAAAAACGCATTTTTAATTGATCAATATTTATTATATACTATACCCCTATGTTGTTAAAGACAAAACATACAATAGGAATAATTATACTGTTTTTACTTACACTAGTAGGTGATCAGCCTTCTTTATGATGTGTCTTTAATTTATAGATTTGATTGATGCCAGCTCGTTCTTTTCCTTCATCGACGAGTGAGGGTAACGACATAGGAAGACGATTGGTGCACAGCATTGAACCTACGATATGAGGAATGAGAAGTAGATGAAGCCGCTAGGCCAACTAGTCTTAAAATGGAGGAATAAACCTTAAATAAATATTCGTAATGAATTAGGTTACAGAGGTAAATAGTCCTAAGTTCTGAAGTGGTTGCGTTTGGATTACATCATAATCATTTCCCGTGTGTTAACACGAGGCTAACCAGTGAATAGAAAATCTAGGACATTTTATCATTACCATAGTCTAGTAGGCTTTGAAGGATATTGCAAGTTTAAGCAAACTTTTTTTTTTAGTCCAATAGACAAGTACCGTGTGATATATGTTAAACCGCCTCCTAGTTCTGTCCTAAGTTCCTCACCGGCGAAACAAAAGTTTTGGGTTTGTGAGCCTGACATACGCGACAGACAGCCCCATGTGCAGAGGCTGTTTCAGCCCAGAGGAATCAGTCGCCCACGTCCTGGTCTGCGTGCAGCGTGGCTGTGGCGTGGTGTGTGGCGAAGAATTTCTTGCCAGTTCTTCTTGCCCGCTCTACGCCCTTGACTTGCGAACTGGTAGTAAATGTAAATTTAAAATTAATTTAACTTCTTTTCTGACGTTCATAAGTGTAATTGTTTACCTATATGAATAAAGTTATTTTGAGTTTGAGTTAACCAACGCACAGAAATCTTCGAAGCAGTGAGGTGACCGTGTAGCCTGTGAAATGCCTAGGGGACTTCTGTGCTTCTGGAAGAAGCTAGGCTGGCTTAGTTAGCCAGGACTTTACACACAACGTACCTCATGAGAGTTTAAGTGCGGAAACTGAGTCCATAAACCATTAACCAAGCCTGACTTACATTGAAACATTTTTCTAAGAAGCCGGTTTGCTGTTGTTCGAACAAGTATTAATTGCGCACAGAATATACAATTCATTAAACCGTCTTAGGGAGCGTTCAAGTATTACGTCACGCAATTTTTGGAGATTATTGACCCCCCTATGTAACGCGCCGTAACGTTTTTCTGTACCTAAAAGTTACCATTATGTGGTGTAAAGTACTGGAAAGTCGAAAATAATATTAAAAATACCCGCATCGTGACGTTCTATAAAAGGACCCCCCCAAATTCGTAACGTAATACTTGAACGCTCCCTTATATAAATAAATAAAAATATGTAAATAAGCACTAATGTTACAGCGTCGATAAATAAGTGCTAAGAGAATAATAGTCTCTCCGATGAAATTTAGAAAATACTTAAAATTAACAAGGCCAATTTGTCGGATTCCTCGAATATTTCCTGAATGCAATTGGTTATTATAGGTGATTGGTAGTTGGTACTAATTAAAAAATGTATTTTATTACACACTTCCTAACAGTGTTTATCATTACTCTTTCCTGTTGCATTGTATAGTAGCTATAATGTACGATTTGAAAAGGTGAACATCAAGATTTTTGGTGCTTGCTTGTTTATTGAGTTTTGGCGTGATTCATAGTTGTGATATGGACATTATAATTTATAAATAACTGAATTACATTTAGGTTTAAGGAATGACGGAGCATCTTCATCATTAAAGTAGAGAATAAACAAAACAAGAAATGTTGACATGACATTCAACATAACAAAACTTACAGATGCACTAAGCACTTGTACACGCTCTATAAGGGCCGATTTACATTATCTTAGTGTTTAGGAGAGTATTTTAGTACAAGTTGAAAGGCAAGTTCTTTAGTGCTTTAGTGCGTTGCGAGTGAACGTTTACATTTCTTCCAGTAGAGTATCATTATTAATTACAGCGTCACAATGAACGCGCAACGACGTCGGCAAATACGCTCTATTCTACGCTAAATACTAACTGTAGTTATGGAACAAATAGAAGACGAGATTTTATTCGAAATAAATAAACTAAATATGAATAATAAATAAAATAGCTTCTTTTAAGGCAGTGTATGCCGAATGCCTAGCCTGTTTGTTTTTGTATAAATTGTTTTTAACGTTCCACAAACATTCGTGAACAATATATTCAGACACAAATTTGATAGTTGTATCATCCGACCATTTAGCCATCTTTAAAAATCAAAAAACGCGCATGCGTTTCACGGCACTTGTGCACTCTCCTAAAGATAGTTGTACTAAATTACGTGTTTACACACAACGAGGGAAGATCTCGGGGGTTGCGCGGGCGCGGGAGGGGTATCACTTGAAACAAAAATAAAAAGCGATTCTATTTTGTTTCAACTTGAAAGTCAAGTAGAACCGTACTAAAGCAAGTAGCGTTTACATGTTTCAACTAAAGTACTATCCTAAAGCACTCTCCTAAACACTAAGATAATGTAAATCGGCCTTAAATGGAAATGGGCAAGTTATATTTCTAGAACGCAGCATAAAAGATGGACACTTGAAATAACAAAATGGACTGGACCTTCTGGAAAGAAATGTATAGGACGACAAGAGAAAAGATGGACAGATGACGTTGTAGAACGGTGTAAAAATGGATGAATGTTGCTCAAGTCAAAGAGAAATGGAAAAATAGGAGAAATAAAAAGAAATCTAACTTTAAATTTTTTGAACTTATACTAACACAACTAATATTAAGAAATGTAAACTAACCAATTGTTGTATGGATTCATTAATAAAGCTTTAATAATAATAATAATAATAATAAGGAATGACAGATTGAATTATTGTTAATTATTTTTTTATTGAAATCGCAATATTTTTTTAATAAATTGTCTCTGCACAAAGACATAATTTAACATTACGATCTAGCCTAACTTAAAAATAAGACTAATAAGTATTTTAAATCTAACCTAATTTACCAAAAAGGATATTTCACATAAGAAAGTGTCCAATAACACTACTTACAGTCTCATTAAGTGTGTTCCAAATCTGTTCTTGTGTACTATTATTTATCATCCTAATTCACAAATTCTAATGATTTTGTTAATTTCAATCTACTCACTAAGCCCGTGGTTTCAAGAAGTTGAAGAATAATAGTCGACTTTCCCGTGTTAGTGGAGCCTTTGTTCGTGGCTAGCGATCCTTTTGATTATTATGGTGACGTCCTTTACATTGAAGTCCCGATGGAGGTCGTCATTGGAATAACATATAAAGTGTACTGTAATGTTATATATAGTTACGAAAGTTAAACATTTTGATTATAGAATGAACTCAAAGTATTTAACGAAGATGTGTTACGTTTTTTTATATTATTTCTTTCCCTTTAATGTCGTTATTGCTCGAAGATTTAATAGTTTGTCTAAGAAAGACCGGGCATATTTTTCGGGCTACGAAAATCCATTGTCAAAAGGCCGTACGGAGCTCTCCACAATTAATTATTAGGCCATATACACAAATTCAGTGTCGTTCATTTATATGTACATTAATTATTATAATTAGGTATGTATCAAAAGAACGGTGCAAAGCTAAATTAAATGTACGATTTAGTTAACGACTGGTCTTATTTTACAACTGGATAGTTAATATTAAAAAAATAAATACGAAATATCTAAAGTAACTGATAGCTGCTTATGAACTTCTTATAGTATCTCTGAATCTATTTTCATCTAATCACCAAAGAGAATTTAAATCTACACTCAAAAATATAATCTTACTTTAACTATTTTTGTAAACCACTGAATAACTGCAATAACTCCGGGATAAAAGCGTTAAAAATAGAAAATGTCTCTCGCTATTAATACTTCGACAGCGTACGAGAAAAGCTATAGCATTTAAAAGTAGGTTAGATTACGAAAACATTTATCTATGCGATAAGCTGATAAACAGCATCAAGCGCATTCCGCTTTCCAAGAACATTTTCATTCGCTTCAATATTTAATAGAGTATCATTGTTTTATTTTATTGTGCGCGATGCACACTCGGTTGTAACTTGAGTTACGCGGGCGAAGCGACATACAAACAGTACTCCTTGAGGTGGAACGACCGTGCTTTTGTTTCGAGATTAAACACGTTATTAGATCTCGGACATGTGAACGATTCACAATGGCTCTTTCCTCAAATTGTTGGAAATATCTCGTGCTGACGTTCAACGTTTTATTCGCGGTGAGTATTTGGCTATAGAATTTTATTCCGGCCTTTTTGTTGAATCGTTCCCGTTATGCTGAATCAGCTTTGTTGTCATAACAACGCGGACAACTCGTTGCAATAAAAACAAGTTTTAAATGCATTGTTGTAGGATGAAGGGAGATTTTTATTCAATATATGGGTTTAATGTTTAAAAACAGTCACTGATTCTTTTGTAATCAACTTTTTCCCACACAATATAGTTCACGATAATACGGCTAAATTCGATTGACCTCATTTTCTCTGATTTTCCTCTCGCGAAGCGCTAGTTTCTATGTATACTCTATGGTTTTAAATGTATTTATGTTCTTGCTCACTTGGGCGTATAATAACAAGTTTTATGTATTTTTTTATGTGCTCAACAGATGTCAGCGGTAGTACTTTTCGGTGCTAGTGGGTTTCTGTTATACCGTTTATTTGTATACCGGCATTTCATTGGCGTAAATGTGGAGTATCCAGCAATACTTCTGCTAATGATGGCCATCATTACATGTTCGATTGCCTGGATTGGGTGGAGGACAGCAAAATCTATGCACCAAATACACGTGATAATGGTAATGAATGTTTATTAGTAAATATTCACTATAGTAAGTTTATTAATTAAGATATATTTTTATAAGAATATATATATATACATAAAGTAATAACTTATACAATATTAAAAAAATTGATCTATCTAAGAAGGCAAACGGTACATTAAAAATATATATTTTCATAATATTATACAAATTAGACTTGTTAATGTATTTTTTGTAATATAGCGCCATCTAGCGTCAAATTTTAACAACAAATTTCTCATTTCAGGCTGGCCTATTAATTTTGCTAGTGGTGGTTATAGAATTTGTTTGTTTTGTATGGGCAATGGTGGTATGGGACAACATTGAAATTGACATTAAAACTACGATGACTGCCTACTTCCTAGAAACTAGTACAAAAGAAACAAATCCGGACTCAATACGATGGGATCGACTTCACGTAAAGGTACTTTTATCTTAAATATTTACATAAAATTAACACAGATGCCTGCCTCCGTTTCATTTATCATCCTAGAATATCTATTATAAGATATAGACTTGATATAGATTTAGACTAAAATTGCAGGTAAGTAATAGGTAATAATTAAGGCTGATAAAGTTAGGGAACATAAAACGCATTTAGCTTTTTGTATAGGGAGAGTTTTTAGTTTATAATTTTTTACAATTATAAATATCTTGACTGTTCTTATTATAATGATATTATGATCAACAACATTTGCATGGCTATTTTTATATGGCTGATTGTGCGGTATATTTATAATTAATCAATCTGAATGTACCACTTTCTTTGTAAATAAACAATTATTTATTTATATTTAAATATAATTGCTGTGTGAAACATTTTTCGTAAACATGTCTACGTACGATGTATTTTATTTATGTTTATAATATTTAAGACAACAAATCAAACTTATTATTTATATTAAATAAAATTTTTAGAATGGCTAAGGTTGGGCTTGGCACAAAAAAGGTTGTGATATACTGGTCTAGAGAGTTAGGATAAGATCAAAGTCGAGACTTAGTTTTAAACTCAAAACGTTTATTTACATACGGGTGTCATATCCCTAAGCTACAGATACCGGCAAACATCTTGAACAAATGTCCTTGCCTGCGCAGAAGCGATTTTTAGGTATCACTGGGAGAGGGTGGCGGTGGTGCGCGGCGGCTGGAGCGTGACGTGTCGATCGCGTGATTGGTTAATCAGTTGACGTTTGTGTCCCAGATGGGCAAACTTTCCCTAGTTTAATGCTCAAGAGGTTTGCCGGTATCTGTACTCGCCCCATAATGCAGAACCATTAGTATAGTACAAACAGACGAAGTTTTTTCGGGCGGTGCTTGTCCGCTCATAGAAAAGTATATTTCAGTTACGAAATATACAGTCATTTAGAGAAATATTTTAAAATGTAATTTGATCGTAATTAAACAACCTTACCCCATATCATGCCTAAAATACATTAATTAAGGACAACGCGTACAATAAATAATTTCAACGTTCAAGCTGTTAATTAATTAGGCAACGCTCTGGGGAGCTATTATTCTATTGAGTACATTGAACATGCCTATTGAAACAATAGGCAATAGTATATATTTAAAAACATTGTTGCTACAAGCAGCCTAAGTATGGATTATGAAGAGTTTCATGATTGTGGAAAGTTGATTTTACTATAGACTCATTGCCAGAATTATACAAGTCTACTATTCTACGTAATTACTACGCAAGATACCAAATAATGTTGAAAAATTAGAAGTCATCGGAGGCGCATGTGTATTTATTATATTTGAGGACGAAAGGCATTTGGGCATGCCCCCGAAAGTTGTAGGGGTATGTGGGACTCGACCCAGAACTGACTTCAACTCTGCTTCAGAGACTGGTTGACAATTACCACTAAAACCACCTCGAGTAGTTCCTATGAGTATCGCGATACCTTAATTTTATTGTTTGTAATTATAAAATATATGTTTATATGTTACGGTATAATATAATATATTGGCTACGAGGTATAAGAACATAATATATCACATATCAGGCTTCTGCCCTGCGATTCTGTAACTCACTTTTATATAGAATCGCAGGGCAGATTATTGACTTGACTATTGTAGCCTGTACTTCTAGTTCTAGTTTGTGTTCCCAATTATATATGGTTTAGTAGAAACTAGTGTAGAGTATGTATACAAAAAGGAGGGCAAAATTTACGAACTAAATACTTTAGTCCAGTTTCGGGTTGCAAGACACTACTGTGCCTTGTGCTATTTTACTCTTATCAAATCAACAAATAAAAAGCGGCATCTTGTATCCCATTAGACCAGTGTTTCCCAAACTTTTTTGTGCCATGCCCTACATTAGCCTTTCTAAAATTGTTCCCCACCATGTCATATACCTACATAGATAGTTTTTAATAAGTATATAAAAATTGAAATTTACACTTAAAACTCTTACTCTCTTGTTAAATGTTAGGTTTATAGGACACAGTAAGTAATTATTCAAAACTGAAAATTGAAATTCCAAATAATTTTAAGAAATTTTCGAATTAATTTATTTTCATTTTTAAATTCCCCTTAGAAATCAAATGGCCCCCCTGTGGGGCGTGGGCACCACGTTGGGAAACATTGAATTACAATAAAAACATATTAACGCTCATCTAGAAGCACGCTGGAGTATCCCCACTTCGTTGTTGACATTTCTTATAAAAACAGCAAAGTAGTGGAACTTCTTGCCCACTTCCATCTTCCCTAGACAGTTTAATATGGGTTCATTTAAGCGACGGTTAAATAGTCATCTCCTAGACAGGCGTGCCCTCCAATACTTGAAATCGTGTATGCGGTGACGTTAGTTATTTCGACTATGTATTTGCGTGTTGTTCCCACGAGAATGTGCGTGCTCCTATTTCACCATGCCTCCTGCTGATAGAGGACAAATCTTTGTTTTTAATGTATTTTAATATAATTAATTACTTAATATGTCATTTGGAACATGGTGTATTGGTTGCAGCTCGTTACAACCTACTTGTGTAGAACAAAAAACTTGACGAATAAAAAGAATGGCGGAGAGTTTATTGCCAGTTCTTCTCTTCCGTTCTACACCCTTGATTTGAGAAGTGGCAGTATATGTAAAATTAGAAGCATTTAATATATATTTCTTTTTTGACATCAGATGGGATTGTGGCCCAACGTCTGTCCAGTTCTGTATAAAAAATTAATTGATTAATACGATTTTCTAGTTCGAATGCTGTGGCGTAAGCGGTCCCGCTGACTACAGTTCTACGGGGCACGTGCCATTCTCCTGCTGCGGCCAGGGTCCTCTAGACTCAATACAGAAGCCATACACTGCAGATTGTACTACGGTGTACCAGCGCGGCTGTGGTAACTTGCTTCACGTGTATGCGAAGGAGCAACTGCTTTTTGTTGCCATGGTTGCGCTTATTGCGTCTGTTATTCAGGTTAGTTCTGTTTTGAAAAGATGTATAGACGACCTTCATATGGGTAGCCATTACTTGTAACTTTAACATCAATCGACTTAGAGACCAGCAAGGGCAATGTGAGTGTCCATGCGCGGCAGTATCACTTAACATCAGGTGACCCTTTTTTTATAGAACAAGGGGCAAGCGAGCCTACTGGACGCCCAAAAAAAACAGCCATCGCAGCCCATGGACACCCATTTTTGTGGGTGCGTTGCCGGCCTCTGAGGGACGAGGGAGAAGGTCGTATCTCCCAGGGAAGACCTCCAACGGGAGTCGATTCCACAGTTTGCAAAAGAAAATTGTGAAGCGGATCGTTGATGGTGATGCTGATTAAATTTTGAGTTAATACGGCTCTTACGGTGTTGAAACGATGCAGGATAACAAAGAAAAAACCGTTTTCTCTTTGTAATTAATTTAAAAAAATACTTTAACAAGCTATTTTCGTTAATTGGAACGTACTACTACTATACATTCTTACTTATAATACTAATAAAGAAATCAATCAATTTACTTTTGTGTTTTAAAAATAAAAGTAATTTGGTTGCCGTGTCGGAACGTTTTCTTAAAAATGGATAATATTGCAATTCGCGCGGTAAGATAATATCACAGCTTGAAAATTTTTACTACGGACCTGGTAGATCAAGTTAAGAGCAACATTAGGGGTTAATGCTCCTCCATATTCTACGGTTTCATGTTGGTGTTCTGCCCTGCGATTCTGTAACTCACTTTTCGAACTCACACAGCGGTTTTCGCATCAGCGGTTTGGCATTTCTTTTCAGAATGCCAAACCATAAAATGACTGCTTCACGACTGATTTGAGAGCGACCGCCGATGCGAAAACCGCTGTGTGAGTTCGAAAAGTGAGTTACAGAATCGCAGGGCAGAACTAAAATTAGTTGTTGTTATGTATATAGAAATACCACCATTAATATGGTAACAATTACAAAATAATATAACAAATTCATTATTATCATAATTGCTAACTTATGTCCACATTTTCTAAAATAGCCAACTGGGTCTTAGCAAAAAAGGTCTTGGTTCTGTGCCCTAATAAAAATACAAAACCAACAAAAAAAAAATGGTAATTTAGTTACTTAATAAAATAATAATGATATTGATATCATCGGTCTCAATCGCGCTCTCCCTTTTCTTCGACAAAAACGCTGTACATCTTCGTGACGTTCCGTAAAAATTTTACCCTCCTGCGCCAAAAGAAGTTTCACTTCAAAACATTGTCTTGGTGAATTGTTGAGTTTGTTTAGGTACCCTTTGGGTATGAAAAAAATTTTAGCTCGCCGGGTGCCACGAATTCTTTCTGAAGCAGAAACAAACTAGACTGAGAATTTCAAGGAGTTGTATGAGTTTGATACAACAAGATTTTGACTGGATTCATAACTATGGACAAAACAACACCATTTTGACCCGGAAACGAAATGTCTCCGAAACGTCCATGACTTGGAAGGGACCAACAACTCGAACTTCGAAGAAATTTATGTTGGGCGGTTTTTTCTGTGACAGCCTACAGACATTATGAATCGAATATCGATCTTAATCATAACATCGATGCGACCTACCTGCCCTGCGATTCTGTAACTCACTTTTATTGTTTATCAGAATGCAAAATCATAAAATGACTGCTTCACGACTGATTTGAGAGCGACCGCCGATGCGAAAACCGCTGTGTGAGTTCAAAGAGTGAGTTACAGAATCGCAGGGCTGCACTTTTGTAACAAATATGGTACATATTGTTGGAAACTAATATTTTTATTTTATATAGTGTATTTTCAAATAATTTCATAACACGATCTACATAACTAACCTACTCTAAATTTTCTCGCTAAGTGAATGTAATTCTTTGAAAAATAAAGTATCTTTGAACCAAACCATCTGAATCATCGAGTTACTATTACGGGGACTTTGTACGCGGGACAAATAACAAAGTTACGTAAGGAAATACGCAAGCAACCGCCGTTTTGTTTCAACAAGATAACTCACATAAGTCCAGAGTTGCGATTCGAAGTCCTCCATATTCACCGGTCTAATAAAATCATCTTGAAATACCGTGGAGACTCAGTAGTATCCGCGGTATTACTCGATTAAAGGGTTTTAAAGGATCTGGAAGAAGATTTTAGATTAGAACGTTAAAAAAAAAGATATGCTAAATGTAGCTATATAGGCTAAATAAATGTTGTAGGTGACTGAAAAAGCTGAAAAAAAAACTTAACGTTTAATAGAAGATTATTACTCATTATTACATTTTATTGAACACTACTAGTAATTAGATCTGTCACAAAAGTATGTTTCATGCATATGAAAAATTATTTTGTCTTAACTCGCGCTAATAATTATATTACATTACTAATTAAATTTTATACGGTTGCACGGCGTACATCCGCTGTGTAGTACCCTGCACCGTCTTGGGCACTTACGTCACCATTTTTCAATTATTTTTTTCTAATGTCAGTAATATTAAATATTTTATTACATTGTAGTTTTTGTTATCGTCAAATAACAATGTAATCTTTCCAACATATGTAATCCTTTATGTAGCATGACCGAGTGCACCTTAATGTATGTAAGATATAATTATACCACGATATGTTTAGATAAAAACCATTACAACTTTTATTTTATTAAAAAATATAAATATGTATTTAAAATTGTTAGGAAATTGTGATTCAAAAGATTTATAATTAAACTATACTTCTAAAACTTGTAAAATCTAAAGCCATGTTGATGTAAAAGTAGAAACATTGATCACAAAAAGGCAGCAATTATATAAATATGTACCTAGTATTGCACCTTGCAGGAACATGTTATATACTTGAGGTCTCGTTACTGTAATACCATCTGTACTGCTTGGTAATAAAGTGCATTTTGTAATGTCTTTGAAATCACGGTGCATCCCCGGCTGGTTCAGTGTCTCATAGCGTGTGATGAACAAAGAAAACAATTAAATAATATTGAGAATATGAGTGAGTCATAAAATACTTAATTCATATTATTATTCGTATCATCGCATGTTTATGACGTGACCACAGTTTTAATTGCCCTATCGATTCACGTCATGCTACTATTTCGTTGTCTATCTCTTTCTCTTTCTATGTCTACTGACATCAAAGTTTGTTTGTAGTAATTTCTTTAACGGTCTCCCAAGTCCCAACACACGACACGCCATTTTAACTTATCCCTTATGATTTGTGGATGCCACCAGCAGCCGTCTCTGCCATCTATTCTTAAATACGTAAAGGTATAATCTCCGGGGGCTCCTGTCTCACCTTATTCGTACTTAACTTTAAGGCTTTTAATTGGTATGAATATTGGTACAGGATACAAATAGTTGCATACACATTAATTCTTTAAATCATTCTAGCAAGATTTGACATGTAATTTTTAAGTAAAATAATTAGTATTATCTAGTAATATATATCATAAGCACAACACAAATAACAAGAGACAAAACTTATAAGCCCTCAATACGCTTTATTCACAAGCTAGAGGTAGGCAGAGACCACGGATCTCCACTTGCCTTAATATTTTAATGACAATTAAATTCATTATGGTAGGGGAGCCCACGATGCTAAATGGGGATTTACTCGAGCGTCGTAGAGACCTATTGGGATACAAAGCTTAGATAAAAAGAAGAAAAAAATGTTATATGATAAATTCCTTTTCATCGGTGGGGGAAGCGGCTATAGATAGTTAAATATGTAAAAAAAACTGTTGCATGGACATCCTCGAGCGCGTCAGATATTGATAGCATCTATGCCCTACGTATTTTTAATAATGTACGTATGTTAATCTGATCGTTTGCATGATGCGGGTGGTTGTATTTAAGGGTTGAAAATTAAAAAAAAAAAATTTATCGAGCGCGTCAGATTTTCTAAGGGAGTGTTAAGTGCACCAAAAAAAATCTCTCATTCACTAATCTGACGATTTCGATGGGACGCAAACCCACAGCCATTTTCTTAATTTGCAAAAAAAAATCGCAATTTTGAAATACTCAAGCGCGTCAGATTAAGATATATGTGGTTCATCTTTATGTTCTAAACGTACTGTCTCATAATCTGACGATTATCTAGAGGGATTCGCCTGATCTGACAAAAAAAAAATAGAAAAACGGTTCACCTAAAGGGCCATCCCTGCAACTTCCCGCTAATTCCATTCCTGGGCGCTTAAAATTGATATTTTGAGCTCGCTGAGTTCAAAGAAATAACATTTCTATGCATTTGAGCTCTCCCAGCTCGAAAGTCTGATAGAAGTTTCATAGAACACTATTTTTGGAATTTTCAAACCGCAATAACTTTTGAATGGATCAAGCAATTTTCACGCGGTTGGCGGCATTCGACGCAGTTTTATCATTCTCATAAGTAATTTTGCAATTTTAATTGATCGAACCACAAATTTCGGAGTAATCCCGAAAAAACACTTTTTCGGGTTTCTTTCATGTACGATATCTCTCGAACGAATCAACCGCTTTTGACCAGCTTGGTGGCGATCGACGTGGTTTTTCAAGCTCAAAGGCGGATTAGTTTTTGAAGTTGATCGATAAAGAAACCACTTAAAAAAAAATATTTCTTATTTTTTTAAGATTTTTCAAAATTTCTCAAAATCTATCGGTCCGAATCGGTTCAAATTCACAGGAAATGTAATTTTGAGGGAAATATTTTGAACGCCGTTTAGTAGATTCCGATCGGTTTAAGGAAATGTAGGCATCACGCAGCTGCACGCATTTAACTTTATCGACGAATTTTTGTTATTTCGGCTTGCGGAAATCGTCAGATTATATATTTTTCATTATTCTGGAATTATTTCCTTCAAAATAAAAGAAAAATTAGCTACGCTCGAGAATGTCGAGATGACGTTTTTTTTACAACTTTGTTGCCCTCCCCTTTTTTCCGTCACTCTCAAATTGTTAGATTAGTGGAATATACACTTTTAGGATGTAATTAACTCACCCTACCTTAATCTGACGCGCT